GTGCCGTCCAGACAAGGATGAGGCCCCACATGGCTTTGTCAACACTGAAACACCGCTGGCTTTAGAGGTGGCCTCGATCCATCTTCGAACACTTAACCGTGATCCGTAAGTGATCCGTCGAAAACCCTCCGTCTTCGATGAGACTCGAACCGTCCTGAAAAAGATATGACCTTTCTTGGAGCAGCCCCACGGGGCTAGACAATACCTTCTTTCAGACCCGGACGTAAGCTGTCGTTAGGCTGCTAGCCCCACAGACTTTGAGAAGGCCCGTCCCTGGAGAGGCCCCATTAGGCTTGGAGGGGACTGGGCCCGCCGTGGTGTGCCTCCGCCGGCCCTAGAGATATTCACACATTTCTAGCTGGCTATCCCGCCCTGAACAAAGCCTGAGTGTCTAAAGACGGAACATGGTGCGTCCCAAATCGGTCCCGATAGTCCGGGATCTGGAGCAGGCGTTACTCGCCATGCAGAGAGCTCTGTCGGCGACGCGGCAGACCTGCTAGGCCTGACAGCTCGGTCCGTGAAGGGGATCATTCGGCGACGGACAAGCCGCATTCGTTCTCCGAGTGGAGTCTGCTGAATTATCCACGAACATCGCTCAAGGTGACCTAAGCTTAATTGCTGGTTCTGCAGCGAAGGTGTGTCTCAAATGTGCTTTTCATAGCAGAGGGGCTTCTCGCATGCTGGTGGTGAGTTAACATTTTCGTTCGTCTGAAATCATCCAAAGCATGGTGTTTGGATGCCGGACAGAAATATTGTAGTGAAGCGGTCAGAGAAAAACCCATGATGACCAAATCCAAACATCATCCATGTTCAGCGGAAGCAGTCTTGGCGGTTGCCTCACTCGGTGGACTGTGTTCGTCATCCACCATGTAATGCCAGCAACCGACGCTAATCTACGTCAAGGCCCTGTTTCTACAGTATGCGGATTCTGTTGGGGCCAGGGCCGAGACCTGCACGCGACCATTAATCCCATTGGGGCTCCGGACTTTTAACGCCTTCGCTGCTCCTATATGGAACCAATGCTGATGAATTGCCATGGACCTTGAAGTATCATTAGCCCATAACGGGGATATGTCTACACCCACATCCGTGAAAATCCGTGTCGGACAGATACCTCTGGGAAAGGCCGTTACTGGCCCCTCTAATGCCCAGGCTTCCAACGCCACCACCGCATTAATCCCTCTCACAGTCCGGTCCCCGTCCACGCCACCGATCTTAATTGGATTCCTGTCACCTATGCGCTGATGTCGGTTCCTCATGCTCCGGCACCTTCTGGCGCCATTTCGGGGTCTGCATTGGACTCAAACCTTTGCATCGCTGTCATCTGACTGATTCTTTAACGAATGTTGACTTCTCAAGCAATGCATAACAGTGATTGCTTGATAATATCGTTAACCGCTACATACCGGTGCAATGAAGGGTGGTTATTCTCGACATAAGCATTTCTAGTCCAAATACGGAGCTAAATACCTTTCTCCTCAAGTCAAGGAAACAAGCCGCTTCCACGGTGACCATATCGCATTTTTCGTGTTTTGTCTTTTTGTTTTTGCGCATGCGGTTGGGGGCTCCAAGCGACATTAGGACAATGCGATGTCTAAAGTACAACGGCATCGGGACTTCCCAGTGGTTGATAAAACAGACTTGGTGAAGAGTACTGGCGGTACATCAGGGGAGTTTCAGCATCCATATCGTCTAGATAGCCATTAGCCTGATGAAAATATATGCTGCTCATTTCTTGCAGCGTCCACACAAAGTACACCATAAGGCAGCGGCCATATCGTAGACGTCTTGCTGTGGATGGAAGACCGCGCACGTCGTAAAGCATCGGAGTTATTGATGTCATGAAACTACCTCGCATCGTTTGCAAGATGGTCTTAGTAACGGAGTATGTGATATAAGTAAGTATAGATTGAGAGGCGCAAGAGGCTCTATCAGCTCGCCGACTATGCACTTAATCCATACGTACTCAAAGGCGCCCACTTCCAGCCACGTCGCTGTCGACACAGGTTTGCATACTCGTCAGCGCCAGCAGCCGTGCCGTGCCCGAGGATCTACTCTAGTGTCGTAGAGACGGATGCCTGCGCTGCTCTGCGCCGCCGGCCTGCGACGTCTCCGCGCACCATGGGCCGAGCAGTCGGCCGCGCCTGCCCGGCTCGCCGTCGGCGGGCGTCAAGGCCAGCAGGACGGCAGCGCCACGCAGCGGCCGCAGCCCGAAGCTGCCGGCCGCAGCGGAACGGGGAGAGCTGCCTGAGGGTCACTCGGCCAACGCATAGGATTCCACCACGTAGCATCGGTTATCCCACACGACTAATTTGATTATCAGTGGCAAGATGCGCTATCGACGAAATGCAGACCTGGTAACAATCGGCGGTGCACTTAGAAGCTGCGAGATGACACGACGTAACGCCCTCCAAATGTACGCAGGATGGCTCCGGCAGCACTGCGTTTGATTTACAACACCGCTTGCACAAACGTAGACAGGCTGTGTAGATGGTCACGTGACATGGAAGGGCCTGGTGTGGAGCGGATAGCCCAAGATCCAGGCTCGCGCGTGCTCGGTGGCGGATCGTCCCACTGGCGGACCGGTCCAGCATCCTGTCTCGTGGGGCTCACGTCCTTTGTCTCGCAAATCCATAGCTCACAGCCGGCAGGCGTGGTGTCTGTCAGGGTCGCCCATGGATGTAAATGTATGTGCATATCATCAGAAAACGGGCTGTGTCACCGAATAGTCTTGGGATTTCCGATACCGCTCGAGAGCGACGTGGAACTACACTGGATGTGCCGAATGACTGAACTGAGTTGAGCTATTATGTTTGAAATGACTGGCTTTCACTATGTCATGCGGTACCGGTTAAGTAACATTATCAAGCCAGCATTGGCTTTACTGAGAAGATTTAAAGTTTCAAACGGCGCTCATGACCATGTGTGCCCCTGGTCTTTGTCGAGTGGTCACAGTCACGACTGCTGGAAGTTGATCACGATTTCGAGTAGCCTCGAGTACTCATGGTGCTGCATAACCAATACTTGCTTGTAAACGGTGTTTAAACAATACGTCGTGGCGGCTTATCAAGGGTCAGTATGTTCAAAATACCTTCTAACTCACAATGTCCAAAAACTAGTCACGTTTCATTCCTGTTTATATAAAGAATAACTGAACTATGACGTGTAACCATCATCAAATCCAATCAAACACACAGTGACATGTAGGCAACCATTCCAGATTTGCGCCACAAAGTGCCTCTGAGACAACTCAAAGGTATATGCGGACCCATCATAAGCCAACATCACCAGTCTCCCATTGCTCAACCGCTGTCGCGTACCTGCTGACGCCCGTGCGGGTATCGATGGCAGGTTCGGCGGAGGACCTGCCTACCCAGCGCCGGCGTACCAGCGCCCGTACCCCGGGTCGGGTCACCACCACCCGCCGCCACAGTACGGACACCACGCCGCCGTTCATATTGAGCCGGAGAAGATCGTGCTCAACTGTGTCGTACAGGGCTACGCAAGCGCGGTAAGTTCGGGCGCAGGCCTTGTCTACATGGCAGGAAAGACTCGATCAGTAGCAGAGTTCCAGGATGGAAACGTGCGATCACTTCCCCATTACCGCCATGCTTATGTGCATGAGATGCTACGTACCTTGACTATTCATCGACTGGTGTATGCAAATAACCTCTTTTGGTCCAGCAGTCTACGCCGTGAATGAAACCCGGCGTCCAGAATCGACTTCAGTCAACTTCACCTGTTCCCCGAGTTCCCCTCCGTTCAGCTGCCTGTCCCCGCGCCCGACGGCCGGACCAATGAGCGACGTCACAGGTCGAGAGGTCACAGGGCACCTGCCCTCCGGCTTGTGCTCTACCCGCCCACTGTCTGCCCGCCAGCCGATCCAGTGGCTGAAGCCGGACGGGCCGGGCGTGGTGGCCGAGGACGGGCGTGTGCTCTGGGACCGGCGCCACCTGCTGGTCGAGACGGCCGTGTTCGGCGGCGGCCGCGGCTCGCGGCTCGTCATCTCGTACCCGCAGCCGCGCCACCTCGGCCGCTATCTGTGCCGGGCCGGCGCCGCCGCCAGCCGGCCCTTCAGCGTGGGCAGCGTCGGCGGCTTCCAGCCCGTCTACCACGGTCGCTCGACCGGCTCGGGCCGCATCCGGGCGCAGGAGCCGCAGGAGCCGCTGGAGCCGCAGGAGCCGCTCCGGCAGCCGGAGGCCGCGCCGCTCTCGGACGGCGAGAAGCGGCACATCTTGGAGACGATCGTGCAGGAGATAGAGGAGGCCGAGGGCGCTGCAAGGGTCGCGTAGGGCTCCCGGAGCCGAGATCTCACGAATTTCTAGTCAGCTGGTCGGCCATTGGCGTTGTGTGGTGCAGTACCGGCCCAGTACCAGCGTAAGGTGGAGTGACTGAGCAGTGGTCACTCAGCGGTCCAGTAATGGTGTGCCGGATTAGTGCCGTAGTTTGGTGATCCTACCTTGTGATCAAACTAGGTGACTTGCCGCTATGCAGGTTTCGGTGCTCTGCATATATAATCACTGATTACATTCGCTAATGCGGTATCGGAGTGTGTAAATTAATACAATTCCAAACACACATACTACCCGTATATGTCCGTCCCGATAGCTCAGCTGGTTAGAGCGCCTGCCTTCCGTCCCATTCACCGGTGGCGAGGCGGGTTTGAATCGCTCCAGGCACTCACTATTTGCCCTTGACAGATATAGCCTGCATCCTGTGGCAGGGGTCGCGCTGAAGGCAAGGTGACGTCAGAGGGCGGGACGGACCGCGACGAGCACTGTGGCAGGTCAAACTTTCCCCACCGAATTCTGCTGTCGAGTTTGAATTGCACAGTCGGATGGTAGGAGTCGAGGGCCGCACAACAAGCACTGCCTAGCGTGAGCTCCCATCCTAGAAGTCCACCCATTCCAAAGGTTCGGATAAATCTCTTTTTTTAATACAAACGTCGTCCATCATCGTCGCTCGTCCTGGCCGAGCCTCTCAAAACAACGTTTCGCCGTCACTGTAAAACATGTATTGTCCTAGTTGAGACATTCGCAGCAAAGGTGTGTGATGGCGCCAGTGACGAGTCTTTGAACCCCATCCATCTTATTTGTACCGGGTCCCCGTAACTGCTACCATTGCATAGCTCATGTCAATAGGCACAATTATCATATCAAAGGCACTGATCCAGCTGGGGCGCTGGTAAAATAATGCAGGCAGCCTGGCTGAGCATATACAAATGCTTGAAGACCACTCTGCAGATGTCAAATTTGCATTGTTTGCTTGCAGGTTACAGAGCCAGGTTTACAGACAGTGCATCACATATGCTTGGTCCTATAAGCTGCTTGACACGGATTCCACCAGCCCACTAGAGCAGTAACAACGCAAACTATGACTCAATGTGCACAGCACTGTGCACCCAATCACTTTCTCACTGTCCACCAAGGATTGCACGAACTCTGCGGGGCGTTACAGCGCGGATATACAATTAGTTGCGCATCCAATTCCCCGCACAATCCACAGGGCTTAACAACGTCGCGCAAACCCAGCTTCCTAATCACCTCACGTGCATATCACAACATTGGCCCTCCCATACTCTCTGAGCGATATATCTCCCGACCACGGCTTCCGCAGCGGCGCACTGCAGCCCCCGGCGGCTGCAGTGGACGACATCGCCTGCCCTGCACCCGGGGCCGTGCCCCTGACAGCCGGCACCAGGTGGCCAGTCCGACCGCCAGCGCCAGCCGCGTGACGACACACGCGCCCCGGCCCGACCGGCCGCAGCCGGACCGTTCCGCGGCGCGCGTCCTCCCGGCGGCGCAGGCGGCGCACAGCGCACCTCGTGCCATGCAAATCACCAGCACCACTTTCCCTGTGAATAAAACATCGGCGTCGGCCGGCCGGCGCGCCCCGGGGACCGGCCGACCGGCGGCCAGCCGGCTTACAGCTTGGCCCGGTACTGGCGCAGGCTCTCCGTGAGGTTGCGCAGCTTGAAGGCGAGGCCGGCGTCGCCCTCGTACCGGAGCCGGCCCTGCCGGTACGCCTGCTCGGCGTCCAGCAGGCCCGAGAACAGGCGCACCAGCGCGTCGTCGTCCAGCTCCAGCACCAGGTCCGGCCGCACTGGCGACAGAGCGACGAGAGCTGAGGGCGCCGCAGACGCGGATGGTGGCGGCGGCGCGCGGCCCACGCCGGCCCCACGTCCGGCATCGCTCCGGAATCGGTGGGGGAAGGGAGTGGAAGGAGAGGGCAGCCAGCTGAAATCGCTTAAGATGTAGCTTAAAACGCAAAAAAACGTTGTGACGTTGACCGCAAAAAAGTGGTCCACGCCGCTCGGCTTGATGAGAGGTGCAAACCCGGCCATCGGCGATCTTGCCCCTCAGGTTGCGAGCGCGCAGGCTCCCGACTGCTTGATAGACTTTGTTTCAAAGATCGATTCTGAAAAGGATGGACGTCCTCATGGAAACATGTGTTCGCCTTTTTTCATGTTTGACCTCATTTGGATCCACTCTATTGAACTGCGGAACACCGTATCTTACCGGGCAAGCGGCCCCGTGGGTAGAACGCATCGTCACTCGTCATTCTGTGATTGGTATAAATCCTTTTGTGACTGTCATCAATCGCATTCTGACTGACGTCAATCACACTGTGACTGACGTCAATCACGTTGTGACTGACACAGGAACACGTGAAGAAAAGGGCAGCCGGAGCGCACGGCTTCGTATACATTTTCAGTCGCGCGCGGATAGGCCCACGTGAATTTTTAGAGGGCCGCACCGCTGGTTCAGCAGGATTACCAGACAAGCTCGGCTTTGGTCTCAGGCCTAACGGAGCCGGTTCCCTGGCAATGGATGCGGCTGGCAGACTTCGCATCATTAGAACTTGATACTTCACACACGTGAGCTATTTTTTCCCATAACCCATCAGCGGGTATTTTTACGCCTGCGTTCATGCGACGTTTTAACCAATAAAAACAAACTTAAACTGCCCACAGGACCAAACCAAGTAAATATCAAGCAAGTGAACAACGCAAAAGCAGAACTTCTTGACCTTCTGGACCTCTTAGGGCATCACCAACCCGCAGACAATGCCAAGCCACCGCGGGTTGGTGACGTGCATACAACGGCAGACTTTCCACCGGCGGTTGCAGTCGCCGCGGCTTCGAACACCACCGACGATTGTGTGTTTCCTGAGAAGGATGTGAAAGGCTGACCGCTGTCAGCTGCGTCACGGTATTGTACTGTACAGCACGATGCGGTCGCCTCTGTACTATCCGGGTAACACGCTAGAGCAAAACCCCACAAATCGGATCACCCGGGTGGCGGGGTCGGCGTCCGCATGCTGTGCTTGCTATGCATTGCTATCGCTAGGCCGAGTCCAGAATCCGGTTCTGACGCCGCTGAAGAGGACGACTCACGCAACTTAATTGATGAAATCACCCGAAAAAGTTAGTCAGTTGTGTCTTGGTATCAATGTATTTTTTGTTTAATCAAAGGGAAGAGATAATCTGCCGTATATCTTGGTGGCAACATTATCCAATTCTTGCCAATGGTTGAAATGACTCTTACGGAGCATGCTTCACAACCATGACGTCATATATACGCGTTGTCACAATGAAGCACTTAAACACACCGCCCGCCCAACAAAGGGAAACTGACGGCCAAGAAAAATGTGTTGCATTCGACTTCCATGTGATGCCCATTCTCCCAGACTGTTTAATCCCTGATAAGTCTGGGGCACACCCCCAGCCAAATTTGTTCATAGCTTGACATGCAAAGTCGCCGTCTGCGCCTTTTACTGATCGTGATTATTTGTACTTTACACATTTGCAGGGTTCTTCTGTGTCACTACATAAATGATAGCAGCTACGGAAGTTCTGATGACAGCTTTTGATGCATTTCGATGCATCGGTACTATTTATTGCCTGCTATGGCATGTGCGTAAGAGCTAAGACGAAGGAATTTTACCAAGACTGTGGCGTCCTTGTGTACTGCTAGATTACTGGCAGATATTACACAAATTTCGGGAGATATGGTGGAATGTGTCGTCATGACCACCAAGAAACGAACTCATATTCCAAATCGGACTGCATGACTGCTTCGCTTAGGCAATTTTGTTTTTGCTTTTAACTACACAAAACAACAAATTGCCGCAACTTTAGTGGCCAAACATCATTACCGTGCCGCTAAATGTGGATGGGGCCACATAGGATCGTAATTCACGTTTAACCTCGTTCGCTTTCCTGAGTCGCATTCTTTCGATTTCGCTAAAAAAAAGACACTCGAACTCAGTTCGCCGAGGCGTGTTAAATGATCCTCGTTCACTGAAGCTATAAGCAAGATAAAAGCGAAAAACTCCAATTGAAGTAAAAACCATGATCATACCGACGCCCGGGAAGGGCGCCCATTGCAGAAGGCTCTCGTGATGGCGTCCAAACGAGGCGCTCTCAATTGAGCTTATGCACATTGCATTTATGAAATAATGGATTGAAATGAGTAATTTACCACATCGTAGCATACACGGAAACATTATAAAAAAAATAGCAAGGCAAAGTGTAGATGCCCTCTGTGCCGTGCGCCGACATCGGCGAGCGGTGGCGGTCTGCGGCGGGTTGGCCCGGCTCGGCGGCGGCGGCGGCCTTACGCGGGCTGTTGGGGAACACGCCGGGCTGGGCCGTCTTCAGGTCCACGGTCCAGCGCGCCGACACGCCGCCGTCGCCGGTCACACGGAACTCCAGCAAGCCGTTGATCTGAGCCGCAGAACAGACGCGCTCAAACCACACGCCACGGCCGCGACACGCCGGGTCAGGAGACATGACGACTGAACAGGCGGGCGCACAGCCGCGCCACATCCGTCACACGAAACCACAGCGGGTCGTCCACCTGCGTCACGGAACAGATCAGCTGGATATGCAGGCTAAGGCGGGCTAATTCAGGCAGGGAGTTACGTCACCCCGCAGCAGACATCAAGTCAGCAGCCCTGCGGCGCCGGAATACTGACCAAATGACGCAAGCGTAGCGATAACGGAACCACCGCGTCAAATCTTAGTTCGCTTAATCACTCCAGATAATTCAAGCAAATTTGCGTGTTTTTATGACGACTAAACTTCGTATATGACAAGTACAAACGCTTTGTGAATGGTTTGCAGTTACTGGGAACCCCTTGTTGTCATACTTCAAGGCCTGCACGGATCAAAAGCTAAGTGTCGTACGACACATCTTTGCAATCAACCTAAAAACGAGTCAAACGATTTGCCTTCTTTTGCAAGCACACGAAGCTTAAAATAGAATGTTCATGGAATTAATAGCAAGGACGTGAGCAAGCACGCTGATTCCATCCAGTCCATACCTCGGTCCCATCCCTTAAGTCCAAGCCCTTGTGCAACATTTCTGCAACACACAGAAGGTTGACAAAAGGTCCCTCGTGTGCACTAGTGGAAAGGCAACTTCAATTACATTTCGTTCTGCTTAATGTAACCGAGAAAATTATAAGGCTCCTTCCTTCTTTTTTTTGTAATAATTGTGAGTTCTTGTGGTGGAAATACATGAGCTCCCACGCATCAGCAGCTGCTGGTTAAATGGCGTTACACAGCAATCGCTGGTAAATATGCAAAAACTAAACGTTTCCAAAATGAGTTCATCGTCCAGACTAGTGCTAGATGCTAGTCATTAGCAAAGTACTTATGACTATGGGCAATGTCGCTAAACGTCCGAATCTCGCATAAAAGATACCAGTTCTGGCTCCCTAGCGTCGTTAACCTAGTTCCTGTCATACTGAACGTCCGTTATTTTCCACTCAAGAGTTCACATTAAACTCGAGCATGTTGTTTTACTGAGTAAAATAAGCTGACGTATCAGAACATATATAGCTTGCGCCATCCGTCTTTGTTACCAGTGATTGGTTATTGGGTACAACGATTTTCAGTTGTGCTGGCGCACGCGCCCATAGCCGTCGAGGTGCCCTTAAACCCCCCAAAATAGCCATCATCAAGTATTGCACGCTTCTTTTTACTTAGCTTCAGTTTGTGATTTGAGCAGTGTGAAGAATCATTAAAACGTCACTGGAATTCTGTCGTTGCTTGCTGCTGCATATAGCTATGTAATCAAATGCCGAAACATGAGTTTCGGTGCTTGATTTTAAATATTTCGGCGGCAAATGCCCAAGCATTTCCCCCTACAGATTAACGCAAACTGTAAATGTAGTAACAAGTAGTGACGTCAGCAGCCGAATGCAGTGTAACTGAGCCGACGTGTTTTTAGCATCCCTGCCGATGAAAAGAACACACCAACGAACGTCACAATGACCGCCCACTTTTCAGGCCTACCTTCTCTGTCAGCGACTTTCCGTCTAGTTCGATGAGGCCCTGCAGCTTTTGAAACAGGGCTGTCGACTTGAGACCTGTGCCGTCTTTGCGGGCCGTTGGAGCGGGTGGCATCCTGCTTCCTTCACTGGGAACGCATGCGACCGAACTGTAAGCATGCAGCATGTGCATTTAATAAATGCCTACATGAACATCATCTGCTAATAGAACAAACATCAGCGACTTTGAAATTATTCAGTCAATGATTGGTGCTTTGGACTTCCATTGTTCAGGTGTGTTGTGCATATACGGAGGACTTGAACCCGGTTTTTATGAGAAATCAGAACCATCAAAAGGCTGATCCCTTGCGGCACGTGAGCTGGTCCCCATTAACCAGCAATACCTGAGCCCCACAACCTTAACCATCACTTCTGGGAAGAGCAACTGAAGGATAACTAACCAAGGTGGTATCCGTTACACCAAGCAGAGCCTACCAGTGGTAGTACGAACAGACAAAACTCACGCAAACATGCCAAACACAGATCCGTTTTCCGACCCAAAACTCGTCGGCATTCATCCGGCTGTTGCTGGCCGCGCCTCAGGTCGGGGCCGCCCGGGCTCATCCACTGCAACACTGCTGATAATGACGCGATCAGCCGGCTAAACCGCCCGCCGTGAGAGCCCAGCCCACTGCCGGCCGTATCCACCGCTGCGGCCCCGGCTGACGGAGCCCGCGCCCAGGGCGTCCGCCACCCGGGGCGCAGGTGGCGGCCGCTTACCGCCGGGCGTCCGCCTCCAGTCGGTAGAGGGCGACGACGGCGGCGCCGCCGAGGCCGATGTTGTGCTGCAGGCCGACCCTGGCGCCGGCCACCTGGCGCCGCTCCGCCTCCCCGCGCACCTGGAGACACGGCGGCGGGCTCCGGTCAGACGGCACGGCTCCGAGGCAACCGACGACAGGCAGCTGGGGCGCGGCAAGCGGGCTCGCAGGGCTGCTCGGGCGGGACATCAGCTGGATGCCGCGCCAGAGAGCGCTGCGTACACTCACGTCGGCGACAGTTCAACTTTGCGCCACATACCCAACGACCATGACTACTCGCGTCTCAGTCTCCGCCGCCGACTGCGGTAGCCGATCGTGCCGACGCGGCCGCCGTCCGAAGCTCGGCGCCGGTCCACCGACGGGTGGGCGTGCCACTGACCTGCCAGCAGAGCTCGGCGCACTGAGCCAGTCCGGTGGCGCCCAGCGGGTGACCCTTGGAGATGAGGCCGCCGCTTGGGTTCACCACGTACCGGCCGCCGTATGTGTTGTCGCCGGCGTCGATCATGCGGCCGGCGCCGCCCTCCGGGCACAGGCCTGCCGGACACGGGCGTGAGGCGCGCCTGGGCCGGACACGCGCCGGCAACGCGGCAGTCACGGCCGAAGGTGGCATGGCCAAGCGCTCAGCGCCCCCAGCTCTCACGTGAAGGCGAGGATTCAAAACCCAGTTGCGCCACAGTCCCTGAGCGGTAAATATGATCAATGCAGTTGCTGACGTTTCACAAAATGGTGCATGGCGTGCGGCGCGTTCCCTAAAAAAATACATACATCCGGACCACTGCACACCGAGTACTTGTACACACAAACCACACCAGCTTATCTAAACAACAGCGTGCTTTCCCAGCTAACAAACACGGCCTGCAGCCACAGCTGCGCGTGAAGGCTGGCTCCGATCGGACGGCAGCCGACACCCACCGAGCGCCTCGTAGGTGATGAGCTCGTTGGCGGAGAAGCAGTCGTGCAGCTCCACCACCTGGACGTCGGCCGGGCTCAGACCGGTCTCGGCGAACAGCCGCTGCGCCGCCAGCCGCGCCATGTCGAACCCCACCTGTCGGCACCATCGGCACCGTCGCGACACCGGCAGCAGGTGCGGGGGAGTCCCGGATGCGTCACGGGACAGACAGGGGACGAGAGTCCCGAGACACCGCCGCCGACCGGACGCAGACGTCTGGGCGGTCCCAGGCGCGAGACACCGCTTCAGTGCGGACGACAGAGCAGAGGGCACGAGACGCCGCCTCAGTGCAGACGGCAAAGTACAGAGAGAGGCCACGACACCGCCAAGACCTGGGCAACAGCGTTCGGGAAGTCTGGGACCCCGCTAGCACTTCGGCTACAACTAGCAGCGCGACAGGTGTCAGAAGCCTGCATGCGTAGGCAACACATGGACCCGAGCTCGTGATCTCGCTGCCGAGCATGGAGCCTTAGCATACGCCTTTCGGAATAGATTCGACACTGGTCAATGCAGGACGGCCAGTTAACAACACCAAGAAAACCTTGTCCCTACTGCACGACCAAACGAGAGGCATGTACGGAAATGCGACTTCTCCCACTCATTACTCCAGACACGTCGTGCAAGAGGCGTGTCCCCGCGCACTGATCGACTCACCATTTTGATACAGCTCTTCTCTGTGAGCGAGCTGGGCGGGTCGGTGGTCATCTGCATGCCGAGGATGCGCACGGCACGGGCGCGCGCGCCGGCGCCGGCGCAGCGCTCCAGGAAGTGGCGCGACACGACAATGGCGGCGGCGGCGCCGTCCGAGGTGGGGCAGCACTGCAGCTTGGTCAGCGGCTCGAACACGGTCGGCGACGCCAGGATCTGCTCCAGGCTGTACTCGTCCCGGAACTGGGAGTACCTGCGCCGGCGACGGGGCGCGGTGACGGGCGCGACCGGCAGCGTGCGCCGCCGACACCCACAGACGTAGCCCAAAGGGACGGACCGCAGGTCAGGGACAGTCGCGGGAGTAAGGCGAGGCAAGAGCGATGGGAAGGGCATCAGCCGACATCTCTGCTGATCGTTTAAGGCATTTTATTGTGTGTTGGGAAATCACAGCCCAGCAAGACAGAGCAATAACACCTCATGACTACAACTCTTCAAATGCTTGAACAAACAGCTATGTTATCAACCCACTTTAGTGGCATTACACCTCAAAGTCGAGCCCCAGCACTCAAGAATGCTCTCACGGCAATCCCAGCCGGCCGCCCAGATCTCTCTGGACACCGCCACCGCTCACGGGTTGTCCACGGAGTGTTTGTGGTTCTTCCAGGCGATCTTGGCGAGCTGCTCGGCCGTGGTGCCGTACTTCTGCATGTGCTCCCGGCCGGCGTTGCCGAACATCTGGGCAGCCATGGGGGCCGCCTCCAGCTCCGCCACCTCACACATCATCTCCACGTGCCGGTCCATCGGGTTAGTGCGGTCCGTGAACTGGAACGGAACGCGTACCATCAGCAGCACGCAAAACGAGATGAAACGGCTCGGTCACCGGTCCGTGAGATGAAACCGAATAATTCGGAGTAACAACCTGAAACCGAACGGTTCTGGCCAGCGGCCCATGAACTGAAACGGAGCTGTCCGGCCCGGCGACTAGTGAACTGAAACGCACCAGTTAAGTCTCACGGCTCGGACGCCCGCGAGGGTCGCTGAGCTCAACAGGCGGGTGCTGAGCGCCACCTCCAGCCAACGGGCCGCGATCCTCTCGACTGGAACATCGACCCGACAGCCGCGATCGGGGACGTTTGCGCGCTTACCTGCGAGGTGAGGGATCCACGCTGCATTTTCTCGAAGCCCAGCGCAAGCGCGCAGTGCACCTGGCCGCCGCGCACCAGCTGATAGGCCAGGAACAGCGCGCTCGAGCCCGTCGAGCAGTTGTTGTTGACGTTGATGACGGGAACGCCGGTCATGCCCACCGGGTAGAGCGCCCGCTGGCCGCAGGTGGAGTCACCTGGGGACGGCGCCTCCACGTCCGATATCACGCACGTGAGTCTGATCTTCACGTAGAGCGAATGCCCATGAGACGAAGCCGGTCTCAATGCGGACTATGTAAAATACAAGCGCAGAGGAAGAGCATAACCGAGAGCATCTCGCACTCAAAACCAAGCTGGATTAAAACTAAAATATGAATGAAAAACTATCAGCCATATCTGACACATGTACAGAATGATAAGCCCCCTGTAGATGACACCTGTTATCGCTGCAACAAAAAGTGAAGCGTGGCCATTAATCCCACGACCGCACGCCCACCAGTTACTTAATCCCTCATGCAATGTTCACATACCTAAGACTCTTAGTGCTACCCTACGAAACCACTGACTCGGCTCTGTGGTTTTCAGTCTGTAAGGTCTCGATGCCTTCGGTGTCAGCACCACTTTTACTTTCTGCACTGAAGTAACAGGTAGGGGTAGGGGTGAAGGTTCAAGTAACCCCAGGCAAACGTTTGCAGCGCAAAAACCTCCCATGTGGTCAGGCACCATCATCTCCCGACACCTTTTTCCGTTGAAATGATCCCATCAGGAAATCCTGGCTGCGGTGCTGGCCTCCTACGCAACTGCACCAGCTGTGTTCCGTGAAAACCAAAGCATGCAACTATGCCAGGCTGCACATCGACGCTCGGGACAACAGAGTGAGCTGCGAGCCCGCCTCACCGTAGACATATCCGACGCAGGCCTGCTGTACGGCCGTGTACTCGACGCTCGCGTCCGCCAGAGCCTTGGTCACCGCCTCCGACGCCATCTCTGGATAGTCAAAGTTCTCTCGACGGCCTGGTTTTTCGAACTGCGTGCGCACGAGGAAAACGTTATAGTCACGATTTCCTAGCAGCCATAGCACAGAAAATGCCAAAACTTGGGTCCGTGCAAAAAAAGAACGAATGACTAACCGTATTTCATATGCACAAAAAGAATTGGCACGATCTTTATATTTCCAAGATACACCTGTCACAATGGCATGAAATCACGCGCTAGATATGCGCATTTCAAATCAAGAAAAAAGAAACATAAAGATCTTATAAAACTTAAATAAGAAATCGCATGAAATAAGGCACACCTTTGTCATTCCAACCCCCAGGACGAAGACGTCGTTGCTGGCCTTGGCACTCATGGTGATTGCTGCAGTGCGACACCGGGAGACAAGCAGACGAGCACCCTGTCAGCACATCAAACCGCTTTCAGCGCACACGCTGACGGCCAGTGGCCACAGCGATGACCCGGCCGACGACATCTGATGGACCGCTGGGACACCTGTCCCCCATCTCATCGGACCGGTGGGACCACCGGACCCAACGTTCCATCGGACGACGGGGACTAACGAACCCCGCCTCGACGGACTGCCAAGCAGCGAAAAGACACGCTTGAGTCTGTGCTGCTCGAATCTGTTCTGCTGGCTGTCAGGAGTGTTGTGATGGCAGTGAGACTCAGACCCGTGGACAGCCAGCTGAGAGCAACAACAGCCAAGTTAGTGTCACTGTCATCTTGTGTGAATGGAATGAGGGATGGGATGGTCAGGGAATGAGAATGTGTTCTGTTTGATATCTGCATAAAATACAAGCAGAGATATCTAACATTTTGTGTCTCAGATGAAAAGTGCAATATTCAAGGAAGGATCAGCCCCTATGCTGCCTTTTAGTCACCTCTGTGGTCAGAAGTAATAGCCCAATCTCTGCTCTGAGGCAACAGCATTGGTCAAGGATACAGACATTGCCAGGCCATTCAAATATGTATATTATGCACAAAATTTAATAATGAAGAAAAATGAGAAAGCACAACACCATGGTAGTAATACACATATTGAGTCTGGCCTCAAGCAAGACCAAAAACATTGCTTATGAGTGTGAGCTGTGAGTCAGACCAGGTGCTTGATAGCCAAAAGACACAGTTCCTTCCATGACATAGGAATTATGACACACAGGGACCTACCAAAAATATGTTTTTGGTTATCCGTGCAGGAAGCTTTAGCATACCCTCCTCATTCTCACAGCATCTTCCACTGAATAGGGAAACAGCACAGCGATACAAATAAATAGGAGAACAGGTTTGCCTGGTGCCATGGTCTCAATGCACTGTAAGTACCAAAATATGCTTTTTCCACTATGACAGCATTTTGGGAGAGCATTTTTTGAGAATGTAAGTCATTATGCAAGTCATGATAGTTCTGGCATTCAAAATGTCTTACTCAAAAATATTTTTGTAAATTTTCAATTTCTTGATGACTCCAGCACCCAAAAATAAAACATTTCAGGTATCAGTTGGAGGAATCAACCACACATTCTGTCCTGAAGCCACTCAAGCAGCATCCAGTAAAACTTGACCAAAACACATTCTCATTCCTAGCTGTTGGATACATCATGGGTCCACAACCTGTTTTCATCATGAGAGCAGCATACACAAATTCAAAAGGCAGGTTAAATCAAGAAGCACATAACAATGAACACCCATGACAGTGGTGCTGCTGTTAATGCAAATGGTTGGTCAAACAAAAGGTAAGCTATGGGTCAAAGATGCATGCCACCCAGCCAAACAAGCAGATGTCATCAAAGCATGTAGCAAACATTCGAGGTCTATGAAGAAGACAATGTGAAGCAAATAACGTTCAGTAGTCAGACCACACCAAAATCATCAGTAATCGAAAAACTGACGATGAATATGAAGCTGTAGCACTGGTGCCTCAACAAATTTGATGCGACTGTAAGATGTGTTCACATGTAGTTCAAATAAAACGGTTTCAGAAAAATTCGACGATATTTAATGCCCCACCTCAACACTGGAAATTTTGCGACCTCTAATCTTTTAATATACCCGCGGGGCACGCAAACAGCGTGAAAGCATTACCGAAACTGAAATAATAAAAAAGCTGGGTTGTATTTGTCACAACCACACCGTAAACGTAATTTTATTTGGTGTCTGAGAATTGGTAAGAATTGACGTCATAGAGCTACAACTATATAGCGTTAAAACGTGAACTTGAAAAGAAATTGTTATAATTGCGTAAATACCACAGGAAGTTACGGCATGAAATCATTTGCTGTTCATTTGCCCCAGTATTTGTTAGTGACACGGTGTACGCAATTGGAGGAATATGCGGGGCGGGTGAAGGCAGGAGCTCGCATTAGCTATATTGCAAGTTAGTCCCGCTCAAGCTTTATAAAAGTCATCTCCGTGTCACTGCGTTTAGCATAGTGCGTTCTTATGCATTGCCCTCGCATAAAAAATAAGTTAACTGGCGTGATTTGTGATGTCTTTCTTCAAGAGAAAGTTCCGAAGTAAGTCATTTAGATGCGTGTATATACATATTGAAAATGTTGATATGGTTTTAAAGCACCTAAGGTTCTGTCTTGCCCTTTCATGAAAGTGCGCCTGTTTGGGGTTAAGTCTGCTGAGTATTAACACATGATGTGAACATATGCATGCATACATTGAAAGCTGTTCAACAAGCTATAGAATTAAATGCCATTATTGCTTGATAGACTTGATGTTTATGCACAGACATAGTCAGCTACTTATCCTGGCAGGCTTCAGTCATTTACAATCATCTTTAGCTGCTCCAATCATACTTAGCTGGTGCTGGTTCTAGGCATGTTGTATTGATGATATATGATTTCAGCTCATTCCCGGAACAGCTCAGTGTCAAGCTCTTCCTCCTGTCCAGTTGAAAGGAGCATTACCCCACAGCCCAAGTCAGGAGCTGGCTCTCCAGACCCACAAGCCAGCTTTCTGTCAAGTATCCAGGAGGAAGAAAGGAAATGGCAAACTATCACAGGTATTTAGGACTGGTGTTGATGTAACAAATGATGCCTGACAAAAGATCAGGAAGGTCCAAAATTCAATTTTTTATTTGCATTGCCATGTTAAGGGTCATGATAACAGGCATTTGTACTATGCTGCAGTCATATAAAAAGTGTAGTGACATTGTTACCTGGTAGTCCTACATTTATGGCAGGTTTCATCACAGTTATGATTCTTACAAAGCTCATAGTTGCACTCATATCCATAATGTGCACTTAATGATAATATCACACATTTTTCATACCATATTATTAAACCAAGTGTCAATAATCCAGTTCCTTTGGTATATATATATACACATCTTTTGGCGCAGGGACCGCAAATGAAGCATGGCTAATTAAAGTAAAACAAAATCCTATTTTCATTTTGATACACATAGAATGCTCATAATGGAACTCTACAAAGCCACAATGAGAACACTATTGCCACAATCGCATCAGCAGTGTTCACTGCCCACCACCTAATAGTTCAAGAGTTGTACAAGAATTGATTTGTCTGTTGGGTGCTGGAGAGAGTTCATTGATAAATATACTCTTCCAAATTTGAAGGAGTCTTCTGTCATGGCACTTGTAACATACATATATATATATATATATATATATATATATATATATGTATAATATCACAAACATGTGTTTAGTGTTGTATTAGTACAACATGGTACAACACACACCAAGTTACATGACTGCCTTTAGGATTGCTCCACCTTAGCTAAATCAGTGAACCCCATTTTGATCTATGGTGCTCTTGGGAGTTAAATGGTCATGACAGGAAAAATTTGGCTATGGTGGAATATTCTGACAGGCATGATTTTTCCAGAAATAAGCACACAATCTTTTGTTTTAGTAAACAAATTAAGCATGCACCAGTCTCAAACATAGCATGTGTTCATGTTATTTTCACATACCTGACATGACTACATACTTCTGCTAGGTCCATGCCATGGTTATGTGTTCTCTGCTCACTGCACTTCTATTCATACTGCTACCCCCTGATCCTCAGACAGCGAGAAGGAGCATCTGATCAGCCAGCGTCTGACAAAGACTCTCAGCTGCCTCGTCTCGGACAAGTGCGCACTTGGCTACCTGACAGCCTTCTTGGAGAGCCGTCAGGCGGCCGGCTACCTGCACTTCTGGATGGAGGCAGAGGCGATCCGACGCCAGCTGGAACCGGGCGCCAGCGCCGCCGACCGCGACCCGGCCCCGGCGCCTGCCAGCCCGCGGCGGGACCCGGCGGCCGAGCCTGGCGCGCAGCGTGACCCGGCGGCCGGGCCCGAGTCCAGCCCGCGGCGCGACCCTGCCTGCAGCGCCGCGCCGGCCGCCCGCAACGGCGAGCGGCCGGCGGCGGCGCTGGCCCGCCTGCTGCAGCGGTACCTGCTGAGCGAGGGTGGGCCGCAGCTGCGGCTGCCGGCGACGCTGCGGGCTGAGGCGCAGCGCGGCCCACCCGAGGAGCCGGCCCGGCTGGCGGCGCGCGCGCAGGCGGCCGCCGACGCCGTCCTGGCAGCAGCGCACCTCACCGACTTCTTGCAGAGCGACTATTATCAGTGCTATCAGGTGGACGTGCTCACCAGCAGCGCTGTCGAGATCTGTGATATCCTCTTCAATGAGACTGTCGTGTTCATGTTTATGGAGGTGAGTGGTCCTTTCAGCTCACAATTCTTTTTGGGGTAGAAGAATACTGTCGGGGCTGAGAAGGCTAGAATTTTTTGGTTGTGTTTTGGAATGTATGCTTACAAAAGGTTGTGTTTTGGAATGTATGCTTATTGTGCAGTTCGCGCTTTTTCTTTTCCTTCGCTGTCAACTACCTTCGAGCTCTGCTGTAGTGTTGTTTGTTATGTCCTTACCTACCTGTAGTTTCCATCCAGCTGCCAGGCCCAGGAAAGATTGTAATCACATCTAAATAAAGGGCTTGGGGGAAATATCAGCATGGGGAGGAAATATCAGCTTGAGCACAGGGAAAAGATTGGTCTTGATTGTATGTGACTGGTGGCAGCCGACAGCGCACAATATTTATAAGCATCTGACAGTACTGTGATCCTTGGTTTGTTCACTGCAGTTTATGGAGCAAGACGGTCTCGCTCACTACATGGAGTTCTGGCTGTCTTCTAATAACTTCCGCGACCAGCTGTACGCGATGGGCGACGATTGCGACGGCGAACAGACGCAGAATGACGCAATGATACTGTATGACAAGTGAGTGATAAATGAAACAAGCTTGTGACTGGAGGAGTTGTGTTGCCACCATCTGGCTTTTCAGAATAACAGCGTGCATACCTTTCATGAGTCATTTAATTTTAAGTGGCATTGTCCCCACTATCGAACTGATGTCTGTCGTGACACCCCTTGTGCCGAGCCGACACCCCTGCTACTGATCAGACACCCCAGCCGGCGATCTGGCCGCCTGGACACCCCTGCCGCCGACCTGACACCTCTGCCGCCGATCTGACCCGCCTCCGCTGTCGGCCGCCCGGCTGCAGGTACTTCTCGCTGCAGGCGGCCAGTCCGCTGGGGTTCGGTCCGGAGACGCGCACAGAGCTGGAGCTGAACATCTGCCGGGATGGCGGGCCGCGGCCGGAGTGCTTCCTGCGGCCGATGCTGGTGCTGCACAACGTCCTGCAGCAGGTGACTGACGTGACTGGCAGGACTGTGTGGTGACTCGCTAGTGACTGACTTGACTGAGTTAACTGACGTGGTGACTCGCTGGTGAGGCGGGCTGCCGGCGGGCGGTTGGTGACGGACATTGGTACCGGATCCAGTGGCCGTTGTTTGTCCTTCATGATATTGCGGGGATGGGAGGTTTGCGGCGTTGTAGAGATTGTGATAGCGGCGAGTGCCTTGGTTTGAACTTTTCCTGTGGGTGGTAGTATTCTTAAGCAAACGAATGTGAAAATTGTGCGTCAGTACTGGATTTGAGCCATAAGTTCAGTTCGACATTAGGGCAGTGTTTCCTTGTGTTGACAACGTTCGGCCGCCGATGATATATGGGTGAATCTTCCTGACCTGTTCTGCCACGGCATGGCAAATGGAAGATGGGTGGGATGACGGGTTGGATGTCGAGACTTTTCTTGACCTGAGCGGGTGGTATGGAGAATGCTCTTAATCCCGGCCATACATGGGCACAGTCCTGTTTGAACGGCAGATGGCGTGGGGAGACAGGATACCGTGATGACTAATGTATGGATATCAGGTAATAAGAGACGCCCCTGCACTGTGGCTTGAAAGCCTTGCTCACAATATTCTGTTGTTTCCAGAGGTATCTGAGCGCGTTTCTCAACTCACAAGTGTTCTTCAAGTACGCGATGGATCTGGTGAACACGATACGACATCCGGCAAAGCCCTATCCCTTCGACAAGACGGGTGAGCACAGCCTGGCGGGACGCTCGTGCACTTTGAACATTAGTCGGGAACCATTGCGAAATGTGCGAGGTGTTCATTATGACATTTGTATCCCGGGAATTGGTGCCTTTCATAGGTAAGGGAGTATAACAATTCGTTGCACAGGCCTTGTGCTCCCTCCTATCTTCTATGTTGTGGTTGTCTGTCGTCATGTAGCATCTTTGGTGTAATGCCCGGGTACCAATCTTGTGGCATTGCCAGTATTGCCGAAGATCCTGTGTGGTATGAGGCGCATTAAGCCTCAAGTAATTATGGGCGCTTCATGACCTACAGCAGTCGATGCGCCCCAAAACACCAAATCATCATCATCAAGCCCCCAGGTGGCTCCCCGCTATCACCTGCGATCCACTGAGGTCAGCTGCTCTGTGACGTGACCTAGAGCCCAATTCGTCCCCGTGCATTGCCTGCCAGCACGAAGTCGATTAATCGACAGAGTCATTATGGGCTCCAGGTGACGCCATGCTCCCACCTGCCTCTGTGGTGGCACCATCCGACCGGTCGACAAAGGGGCCACCGACGGCTATTGATCCCGCTGTTGGCCATCCGCCGTCTGTCGTGTCTGAGGCCCAGTCCTGACCGAGCACTAGCCACCCTGGGGCCCCGGCGTCGTTCAGTGCCGCGGCGACGGGCCGAGCTGGTGCGCCGCTGTGCTGACTCGTTGAATCTTGCCTGCTGTGATGTGCCGTGTGTCGCTGACGATGACTCGCTGAGTGGTGCCGGGCGCCGCTGCGGCGACTCCGAATGGTGCTGGGAGCCGCTGTGATGACTGGCTGAGTGGTGTTGGGCGCCACTACGGTGACTGAGTGGTGCCTGGCGCCTCTGCGGTGACTCTGAGTCGTGCCGGGCGCCGCTACGTTGACTCTTGAGTGGTGCTGGACGTCGCTGCGGTGACTGAGTCGTGCCGGGCGCCGTTGCGGTGACTCTGAGTGGTGCTGGGCGCCGCTGTGCTGACTGACTGAGTGGTGCTGGGCGCCGCTGCGGTGACTCTGAGTGGAGCAGGGCGCCGCTGTGGGGACTCTGAGTGGTGCCTGGCGCCGCTGCGGTGACTGAGTCGTGCTGGGCGCCGCTGCGCTGATTCTGAGTGGTGCTGGGCGCCTCTGTGGGGACTCTGAGTGGTACCGAGCGCCGCTGACGATGGTGGTGCGACTGCTGACAGACGCGGTGAGCACGTGCAGCAGTGATCAGGGCTCGTCAGTGACGGGTGGCTCTGTGCCGGAGCGCTGGTCACACCCGGACCCCGGCCAGCTGCACCGGCGCCGATACTACGGGTCAGTCCCCGCTGCCGCTCCCAGTCAGACACACGCCGCCTCGCCACGCGCTGAGCACTCTCACACGCTCGCACACAGAGTCGCGGAATGAGTTCAACACTCATTCTCAACACCCTCACACGCATCCTCGGCATGGAATGCCCGCTATTTGATACCGCCATTGCATGCCTTGGCATGCAATAAACGTGTTTGGCCCGCGGAAAATGCACCTGCTTTACGGCATGGCAGCACACGGCATAGATGTTAAGTCCGGGATGTTACGATTTGTGTCTAATGTCAGTATTTGTCCGACGTCGGGGTCGGGTGCCTGCTTAGTTACTCGTAAAGCTATGAACGGTGCCGTCTGGCCGACCCAAACGTCTTCACCAGCGATGATTTCGTGTTGATTTTGACGTTAGCTCGGGTGAAAACACGCGCTGCGTCGCCGGCTGTGCAATATCGGGCATCATTACGGCTGGATGTTGGAGTAAGCACCAGTTTCATACCTGCGAGTGCAGTATGCGAGCAAATGCGGCATGGATCGACTCGCTTTCGACTCGATTCGGACTCGACGCGGTACCTCTCATGAGAAAACAAAGCAAATATAACGATCTTGTAAAAACTTGCTTTCCACACGGCGATTCAGATTATATGTTAATGAGAACTTTTATATAAATCAGCTACGCACTAAGCTGATGCTATTTTATAGCGCTTTTCTCTCACCGTGGCAGGAAGGGTGGGCTTCGCGGGGAGTGAACCTCGCGCCTCTGGTTTTCCAGACACGCAGCTTAACCGCTACACTATCGGTACCCCCTTCAGAGCGTTAAGCGGAGTGCGAATGTTATGCATGTCGGTTGGTCAGCAAAGAAGTGATAGTTTTGGAATACGTAGGCGTTTTTTGTTCACGTTCTTGGATGCAGCCCAGGATCGTGATCGGATCCAATATCCGAAAGAATGGACACCGCCAAGACACACCAGTGTGAACAATTATACTAACCATGGAAACGCTGGTTGAGTTATACCGTAAACACCGGTTTGACCAAAAATTTATACCAGAAAGCTATCGGGAATGTTCCAAAACACTCAATTTTATAAGTAGGTCATGAACGTTTGTTTAATGACTGACAAAGTTGTAGTGCAACCAATTATGTTGACACCTTGTGAGAACACCAGACATTGGTGGTATCCGAGCGACTTAATTACTACTTGTAAGAAGTTGTAGAGCAGGCGGGGTTCCTTATCAAGATGTAGGCACATTTCTTCTCCGTGTGTGACGCAATAAACTTCGCAATGTTAAACACAGGGCACACATCCTGAGTTTGTACATTTGTGCGATGAATTTCTCTTACGTGAAACACAGTGTGGCGTATGTTTCCGTGAAGGCGTTGGTTTCCTCACTTTCTCAAATATTTATGAGACGTGCAAAGAACATTGTTTATGTGCTCTAAGACGAATGTACTGTCAAAACAACCTAGGCCAGAATGCAATGAAATGTTGGGTCCTAGAAACGCATTTAGTTGCGTTTATCGACACCTGCGACTGAGTTCTAATTAAAGCTAGGTCAGCGCTGATTGGATTATTTTCCCATAAATATATAACAGATTCGCTCTTGGATTGTACATCTTTATCATTATTGTTGTGCACTCTTGACTGTAGTCTCAAACTGGATGAAATACACTAACTAAGCCGCAAAATTCTCTACATTTCGGCAAATATGCCTTCATCTGGCACGTTCAGAACTCACTTAAAGGCATGTCTCTGGAAATAGGGTGAACTTTGCGGCTTATTTGTAGCATTTCATTTGAGCGTGAAACTGTAGTCACGAGCATACAGTATAGTATAGTCGTTTTCCATTCACAAGAATCGAATCAGCGCTGATCCTGTCGCTTAAAATCAAGCGCTTGATGTTATCCCGATTCCCTGAAGTTTGGAGTGATCCTGATTCAGGCTTGCACCTGAATCTTATCAAGCTCAAGGCTCGTGAGCAGACTCTGGCCTCACAGACCGAATACTGTTCTACCCCGTTGGCCGTGGCTCGCTGTCAGTCGTGGCCTTTGTACACCGTTGAGCCGCGCTTGCTCTCAGTTGCCGATCTCGTCCCCTGCTGACCCGTGCTCACCGTCCGTGGCGGCCAGCCCCGCGGCCGCCATCGCCGGCTGGTAACGCCCGTGTCGGCCACCCTCAGGCTCAGCATCGGCCACGTGAACCACGTGGGCCGGTACGAATCTCACCTGGAGCCGAAGCCGGACCCGGGCCGGCCGTCGGCGCTGCGGCGCGCCGTCAAGTCGCTGCTCCGGCACGACGAGAACAAGGTACGGCACCCGGCCCCGATCCGGGCACCGGCTCAGGTTCCCGGCGGGCAAGCCAGCGTTTGCTGTTTTATGGTCTGTGGTCAAAATGAACGTTGAGTGGCGGCAAAACAAAATTAATTAGATCGTCGTACGGCGGGTCCGGCGATAAAATTGGGCAAGTAATGAAATACTGCGTGAAAATCATTCGCGACCAAACCATATTATTGCTAGCGTTGTCCATATCTCGAATATCTGGCAATAGGTTCTGGAAATTTTTGATCCTGTCTAGTGCGTGTTGACCGTCAGCATATTAAGACCACAATGTTCTGACCCAGTTAACCTTAGATAGACCCAGCAGGAACCTTAGGCAAGCTTGAGGTACTAAGCATGCTAATGAGAGCTAATGCATACGGATCCGAGTTCCAAAAAATTGTATCGTCATGGGGCAAATAAAATCGTGAATCTTCTGCCAAAAAAAACACGGCTAACTCATGTCTCTCCTAGAAATGAGCCGGTTGAGCGTACGGGGTGCATCGCTGATTCGACTTTGTGGCATTGATGTCAACTCCAGACAATTCACGCTAGTGCCAATGACTTGTTACTTTTATGTGACTTCTGCGCCACGTTTGACCCGCAGCGATTTGCCGGCGTGGCGCGCCGCCGCGGGCGTCCCGCGCTGCGCCAGCTGACCCGACCTCTGCCTGCCAGGTGAAGGAGGAGATGGCCTGGCGCGTGGCCAACATGATCGTGAAGGACGTCACCAACGTGACGATGGGCCTGGGTGGCAGCCCCACCCACCGTCCGCACTGGTGACCGACGGGGCGGGCAGCTCCGGCGACGTCCCGGCCGGGGAGTCAGCGGCGGCAGGCCCAGCTGCCGTGCCGCCCTGCACACGACTTGTGATCTGCTGTTGGGGTCGGGCGCTCTGTTTGGTGCGCCCGAGGCCGTTCAATACTTTATCTCCTGGTGCCAGGCGTTATCACAAAATACGTATATGCGCGGACACCGTGTTGTGTGGTGAGACACCAGTGGATCTGCCTGCGTTGCTCTGGTGTTAAGTGCGTTTGTTCGACATTGGTATCAGCAGGGCACCACTGGCGTAGGTGCCCCGCTCTGACTGCCACGCAATCCCTGGTAATCGCGCTAATAAGCTGAGGTTGTGCCGTGCAATGCGTGCTTATCTCGTCAGAGGACATGCTGGCGTGAGTGTGTGACGCAGCCGCGCCCATGACACGCATTCGACTGGGGCGCTCGCTGGCTCGCTGCGGGCGTTTGTTATGTTATCAGCCTGCCAAGTTACAAAATACTGAGGCGTAGTGACGCCCGTCGTCGGAAGGGAGAGGCGCGCGCGGCGCCGCTCGGTTGTGGTCCCGCCACCTGACGGTTGGGCAGGTGGCGGGGATGTCGTTCCCAGGTCGTCTCGATCCCGCGGGACCGAACTCGCCTGCCGCGCGCCGGAGCAGTGCCGATGCCCGCTCTCAGCTCGAACGACTCTGCAGTTTATTGCGCCGTGCTGGCGCACGGGACGGGGAGCGCTCGCGCGCCGGCCCCGCTTGTCGACGTGGTCTCGTGCCGGAGCGCCGCCAGTGGTTTGAATAGGATGCTTCCATAATATCGGCATATTTTTGCGAGTCATGTGATCGCGCTTGAATTGTATTCGATAATTCGAAGGTGTTATGTGATGGCATGCGTCGCAGGGTGAGATTAGCTAGTTTCTTAATATACATATGCATATCTGCTGCCTTTGATGTTGGATGTCATGAACCAGTTACGCGAGTAGCTGCTCGGCAAGCCGTCTGCCTGATGCGAGTATGATACACGAGGCGATCCGATGAATTTCCAAAACGTGCCTCCAGCCACCATTAAGGATAAAGTTAAGTGCAAGGAAGGACCAAAACGCTGTCAGAACGTCACACGTCCTTGTATTCTTGTGCAACTTCACTAACCGTCTCGACCACTTCAAAAACGACAGGCCGAGCTAGGTACAAAAGGTATCACAGCATGCTCTGAGATCACATCACCAATCAAGTCCAGCCGGCATGGCGCCCTCGCCTCAGCCATGGCCCAGCGTGACCGTCACTTGCGCTGCAGCCACTCGAAGTGCCCGCAGTTGGCCGCCGGGTCGCCCGGCTTGCCGACACCGCGGGCGCAGCACCAGAACAGCTTGCCCAGGTTGGGGCCGGCCTTCCTGACCGTGCGCTGCACGCAAGGCTGGCCGTGGCCGCGGCAGGACGGCGGCCGCGCCGGCTTCAGCGCCCGCCGCCAGAAGGAGCGTGCCGCCGCGTCCGGACCGTTGGCAGCCGCCTCCTGCCCGCCGGGTCGCCCCGGAGCCGACACCGGCGGGTCGGTCCGCTCTGCGCAGTCATCCAGCGTCCGCTGTTGTCTCTGGTCTCCAGGCGTGACCGCACTGCACGCGAGCGCGTCTCTCCTCACGTCCCGTGCACCCTCCGCCGGCTCCGGTGGCGTGACGGCCGACGGCTCTCCGTTCTGGCTGTCAGCAGCGTTCACCGCCGCTCCGAGCTCGCCCCGCGAGGACGCCGTCGGGGCGCCGGCGACGCCCTCCTTCGGCCGGAGGAAGGCGAGGAGGGTGGCCTGGCCGGAACGCGGCCGTTTGGCCGGCGGCGGGCGGGCCGCCGTGGTGGCCGGCCGCCGGGGGCCGGCTGACGGCGCCGGCGGCGGCAGGCGGGCGCACAGCTCCCGCAGTGTCACCTGCCGGCCGGCCAGCTCCGGGTAGTGGCGCGTGCAGGCGGGCGGACAGCGCTGCTCGGCCAGCAGCTGGCCAGCCACCGCGGCCCGCACCGGGCAGTGGTCGCTGCCGAGCACATGCGCTAGCACGTCACAGCTCCGCAGCTGACTGGCCAGCGCCCGGTCGCTCAGCACGTAGTCGATGCGCGTGCCGAAGTTGAGCTGGCGCGCGTTCTGGCGCGTGTTCCAGCAGGTGTAGACGTCAACGGCGGTCGGATGCAGCAGCCGGAAGGCGTCCACCAGGCGATCGTCGTCCGGCTCCGGCTCCGGCCCACCGCCGGCCGGACTCGGGTCGCACAGCCAGCCGTCCAGGAACTGGCGGCTCGGGCTCGACCGAAACTCCTGCGGCGCAGGCGCGGAGACCCTCAGCCTCAACTGATCGTGGTCGGGGCAAACGATCAAAATTGCTGCATAACGGAGCTCCCAGAGCGTTCCAGCAACGAAACTGAGCAAGTCAATGTTGACCACACGTTTTAAACAGAGACGTATTAGCCATGCACGTGATTTGGTGTTCCTTTCGGCATCCCTGTTTCGGCATCCCTGCTTCGGCATCCCTGTTCCCTGTTCTGAATGAATGACGAGTGCAGCCCTCGCCGTCAAGTTTTCAGGACGCGGGGGTATCTCGTTCGTCGTTTTCACATCACCTGACTCAGGCGGCGGTCGGCGGCATGTGACGTGTCTCAAGTGAAGTATCTCGCTGCCACGTCATCAGTGTGACGTATGCATCGCCGTCACGTCACTCAGGTCTTACCGCCACATCAGCCCGCGCCCGGTCGCCAGGTCACGTGCACTTGGTGTCACCTAACCACATCAAAGACGTCTCGCCGCCAGGCCCTGACGCCATGTCCCCCTCACCGTCAGGTCAGCCAGGTCGCTGCACCCCCTCACCGCCAGGTCAGCCAGATCGCGGGGCCCCCTCACCGTCAGGTCAGCCGGGTCGCGGTGCCCCCTCACTGTCAGGTCAGCCTGGCCGCGGTGCCCCTCACCGTCAGATCAGCCAGGTCGCGCGCCCCCCCCCCCCCCACCGTCAGGTCAGTCTGGTCACGTTGCCCCTCACCGTCAGGTCGCCGGGATCGCAGGAGTCGACTGGCCGGTGGCTGCAGTTCAGATCTCCCACCACCATCACGTGGTGTCCGGCCGCCCGCAGCGCCGCCGCGCGCAGCCGCAGCGCGCGGTAGAAGCGCATCTTATAGGCGAGCCGCTCAGGCCGGTCCGGGTCCACCCGCGGGCAGTACACGTTGATCACCGCCAGCTGGCACTCGGCGCCGACTGCGACACACTGCGGCGGAGCGCAGGTCTTCAGAAGGCGGGGAGAGGCCTGCACCAGGACCGCCCACTGACCGCCATGACGGCCTGTGCTTGGTGACGTGACGAGAGCATGCTGTCCGGCTAGCTGCGAACTAACATGACGAGGCGGTCTGTGGGGACCTCTCAGAAGACGGTGGGCATGCAGCGGATCAGCGGTGTAGACACCGGAACAGCAGAGTCTGGTTAATATGGTGACGCTATATAACTGACGTGCCAGTGGCGTGTGCGGGACGACTAAACAGCTGACCTGACAGTGCAATCTGTGCAGGGTGACAACGCAGCGTCCCTCGGCGTCGATTTCGGCCCTCTCCGTCGGGTCCAGCTCGGCGGCGATGGCGTCGTAGCCGCCCACCCGGCCGCCGCCGTCGGCCGCCGCCCGGGACCCGGCCAGTCCCGTCTCGGCGCCCAGGGGCGTGGCCGAGTCCCGGCAGTAGGTGGCAACACCTGCGGCCGGCAGAGGCGCCCGCTCACAACACCCGGCGGAGGGCTGCCTGGCGCCCCGGCGGTGAACCCCTGAACGTCAGACACGCTCGCACCACTCTGGCCCTCATCTGCCGGAATGCCAGGGGCGTTTCGCGTGACATCTCGGTGACCTCATCAATCTGCCCCACGGTTGACTTCGTAATCTGGAAGCCCGGAGTCACCGAGAGGTTTGTGAAGCAGTTTCGGCTGACGTTCAGGCGGTACGTTGGTTGGTGACCGGCTTTTACCACTGACCTTTTAAACGACATTCGGACTTTAATTCTAACTACGCAGCTTAGGTCTACACTAAAATGCGGTAGCTCTCGGTATTCAAGCAGCCAAATACATATTTTTGCGCAAATACCAACCAGATCTTGGCCTTCCAAACAATAGCCTGTGATACATGGCTACAAACGTGTAAATCTGACATCGTTGTTGGTCAGTAATGCCGGACACCATCCCCTTGCTTGCAAGATCGAGCTCTAAAAGGACAAGCTTTGTGCGACGCGAATGCGACAGGACTGAATGCGATTTTCCTGAATAAACTGAATGTGGCGAATTGCGGTAGATCCAGATCTGAACAAAACTCAACGTATCGACGCCCCCCGGGTGCAGGCTAAGCTGCTAGCATCCTGAGTTTTGAGCACCGTAGCCAGCCTGAGCTTTGAGCCCAGCACAAAGGCTTACCCGAGTATCCGCTGCGACGCTGTGAAAAGTCGAAGTATGAAGAATAGCCTGGCACAATGGCGAGAGGTTCCGTCAGCATTTCACCTGGAAATCAGAAACAGTTGCCTTAGATGGTTTGGTGCAAAAAAACAGCATGGCATGCTGTAACTCTTGCACGATGGAAAGGCTCTATCCCATTTACAGCATACTGCAAAACTAAATATACCCAAAAACCACCTCCACTCAACCATAGTTGTTTATCATACATTACACACTGGGGCATGCTTTTGCACACAAAAGACATGGTAACTTTTTCTGATAATGGAATATGATGCACCAAACCTATGATTCTCCATTCTTACGGGTTATCTTAGTTTCCTGCAGGCATATGATATCTGAGTCCAGATCATCTAGCGTAGACTTCAAGCATTTTGCCGTGCGGAGGCCATTGATGTTCCATGTCGTGACACGAAACATGGCTGGAAGTCGCCTGCAACAGTAAACCAACGTTACATGGTGACCATGACCAAAGACTAACACAGTAAAAAATGATAAAAAAACAGTGCATATGCATGTCATTGCATAGCTAAGGAATTTTAGCAGGAAGCAAAGTAAAAATCAAGAAGAGCTGAATCATGACGGTCAATAAAGGCATACCAATGAGCTAAATGATAAGATGATTTGAGCGATGGCTGAGGTACGGATCGGATTGGATCTAAATAACGCTGCGCTGATCCTGATCTAGCATAGGTTCATTTTCGCACATCTCGCTCGATTCTCGATTCTCGATCTCTCAGTTAACAGGAATCTGAAGGTCACTAAGCCTGTGGGGCGTGGAGGCACGTTTTCATCGAATTCGCTCACGTACAACACCCATCAGTGCTGTGCTGTATGTCAGGCCTTCGTCGGACCAGTGGGCTCGCGATGGTCATTAAGGCACTCACATGTCTGGCACCTTATAATACCGCGCCACCGCCGGCTGTCAGGGTGGGGAACATGACTGAAGTAGGCGAGCCTGGTGTCGCCCACAGTGCCACAGGTCATTGGTGCACTGAGTACTGTGGTAGCCCAAGACACTTAAAAAATGTCTGTACTTTGTGTGCCTGGTAGGTGAAACATTTGGTAGTGGACATGGGCCTGTCTGTAACCACATTGGTTAGGAAAAGAGGTGGGGTGCAGCTGATGATTGCCCAAATGTTGAATGCATCAGGATGGATCACACTCCTTGTCTGATGAATTCCATTTAATTATAAACTATTCACACATCACAGTACTGGACCCTCTCCAATGGTTTTTGGTCCATCCTGACAACTAAGTCCCACATTATGCTTCAATTTTCAGATGTGGTATGCAAGGTGATCAATTTGAGCACAGATTAGCAAGCTACCACAAGTGCCCAACTGGTTTTGGTCCCTGCTACCATTGTGTCTCAAAACATGGAACGAAACAATAAAAAGAACACAAATAGAAGTATTCCTCAGCTAAATATCTTGATTATTGACATCTTCTAGCTAATGCAGCAATACTTCCACCCGTGACCATCCTTATTACAACATAATTTTGAGAGAGTTTGACTGTTGGATAGTTACGATGGAAGGCAGTGGCATATTCAAGGGTGGGAGCAATTGGGGCTGAGCACCACCTGGAGGTGATGGGGTCCCTTTGGAGCCAAAGGCCCCTGTGCTTTCTGGCAATTTAAAATTCCCACAAAGCTTTTAAAAACATACAACTAAGCCCATGATGTGTCAACATAGAACCCAAAGCCTAAAAAGGCCTTTTGAATCTAAGAACAGGTTGCCCATAGTGACATGGAGGTCCACTATGCTGATATAGTCCTGATGAGCTGCTTCCACCCCCCCCCCCCCCCACCCCCTGCTAGGCAAAATATGGGCTCCACCACTATTAGGAGGCCCACCTGCTAGGCAAAATACTGGCTCCACCACTATTAGTTGAGTACCACCTACTCATGTTGCCCTTATCATAGCATTTTTGTCCAAATGGTAAGGGAAGACAAGGCTCAGATAGTGATACTTGTTTTAAGAATTTCTGGGTTTGAATAGCTAGTTTAATTCACAATCCTCCACAATCCCTTTCTTTGAAATTGATCCTGCCAAGAGAACCAAGTACTATCATTATGCCCAGATGAAGGTGGGTGCATTGTGAGTGGCCCAGCACTGGCTTAAATATGATCTTGATATTTTAGGCCCATGGTAATGCATGGAATGACCAACACACCATAAGTCCAAAACTACTGGTGGAACATAGGCAATCCTAGGGGGGGGGGAGGACACAGGGCCATGTCCCCCTCCCAAAAAAACTCTGAGAGTATGTTTTGGCCTCCCAAAACATTCCCAGAACTTCATAAAAGGTTTGTCTACCTACCTCAACAGATGTACCTCAAAATAATAGCTTACATAATGGCAAATACATAGTAGCAAAATAATACTTCAAAATGAGGGTTACAAGCTTTGTAAACATGCATACTGCATACAGAACATTAAAAAGCATTTTGGTGCTTGAATGGCGCCCCTACTAGGTACCCGCGAGAGGTACCATGCACTGGACCTCAGATCCCACACCAGCCAGCTGGCGACGAACGGTCCCCCCCCCCCCCAAACAAAAACAACTCCAGGCTGGATCCACCCCTGTGTTGGAACCCTGGCACCCAATACACTTAAGGATGTCGTCGTGGTGCCATCATTTTCAAATTACGGCCAAATGCTAAATGTCAACTTCATTATAAAATGGTATTGGTAGTCGCTGCTATGTTGTTAATATGGCTGAGATTTGCCCCATACCCGGAATTGGAGGCTTTGCCTCCAGATAGCATTCCTAGACACATTATCCCACCGCAGGGGAAAAAGAGGTAAATCATAACACTAGCGCAATGAAGCCCTTTATTCCAGACAGACAACTGTAAGTAAAGAAAATGGCCACGTCACACATAATAACACCACACCACCGCACCCAGCACGTGTCCCACTGACGCGTGGTTCTACGGCCCTGCACCAAACGTAAGGCCTCTCTAAAAACAAATTGTATCGGCCGCGTAACAAACATGCCCACCAGCTGCTCTTCTTGTTGCTAAATTACTGTTCATGTATGTAATATCTCAAATCTCATATTCAACAGCGGAACAAAAACCAAAAGTGCGTAATTTTTTTGATCACCAGATTATAGAATCATGTCTTATACTGTTGCGGTGGAAAAGCCGCGATCAATTCTGACGGGTGGGGTTGGGATCGGTAAATCCCACATCCACCCCTTCGACCTCGCATTAGTTTTAAGCTGTGACCGAAATCGTTAGATTATGAATGTATCAGCGTAATGATCAGCAACGGCATCTACGCGTAAAAAGTAGTGCTCCAGGAAACCACACACACAACACACACACACACACACACACACACACACACACACACACACAGGAGGCATAACGCGTGCATCACTAGCACATTGCTAGCACTGTGACTCGGTCCGCGCTAGTTTCTGCCATTCACGGAGATGGGCCCGGGTATTAAGTAAAGCAATGGATGCACGAATACATGAAGGGTAACCAGGCAGCAATGTGGGCACACGCAACTTTTTTAACCACCATGGCAACCTTGAGATTGGAGGTTAATTCTGATGAAGGTAACAATGAAATTGAATGCTAGCGCTGTCTATGCAAGATACGTAGTTCATGTTTATAAGCTCAAAGGCCATTTGGAACCTCTTCCAAAGATGTGCTAAATTGTTTATCCATGGTTATGAATCTGAAACGGCTCTGTGGTACAATCTTATCGGGAGGGCCAAGGAAGCTGATGACGTCAAAATTTAAATTACCTCAGGATTGGAACAGAAAAACCGCGCGCCGCGCCGAAAACGCTCTTGAGTGGTACGTTGGCGGGTAAGCGTGGCGCGCGGAGGCTCATGCAGAAATATCCGTAATAAAGACGGAGTAAGTTGCAAAGAACGGCATTAAAAGCGAGGTAGGACGGGTATTTCATAAGCTGAAGATGCAGTGTTGTCTTCGAGGGTTGCTTTTCCTGTTGACCTCTGGACATGTTCTCTGAAATTTTGTAACTATAGAGAGCTGTGCATGCAATTTGGGTATATTTACAGCCAGTGGCGTAAGTAGCTTTGCAAAAGACACTTTTGGGTGGGGCTGAGAAAATTGGTGCTTTACCACTGCCCCATGTGTTATAGGAACCATGCATGAATGTGAAGCCTCCCATCCCGATGTAATTACATGAATGTGATTTCTAAATACCGGATTCTTGTACTTTGAGTAAGGCTTAAAACTTACAGAAGAGGCACCATTTAAAATGATCTCCTTCACACCACAGCCAGGCATATGTTGTCCATCTGTCTTGCTGTATGCATAGTCAAGGTGGGATGTAGATACTCTAAGTGCTGTTCAGGAGAATGATCCACACTTCAGGATATTAGAGCAAGCTAATACATGATGGAATAAGCACACTCATCCTATTGGTATACTTTGAAATGAAAGGCTGTTCTAGATAATACAATTGAAATTGAAATTTTGGGACCCTTTCTAAAGAAATTGTATGATCATGTCATCATACCTTGCTTATCAGTGATGGAAGCAATATGTGGCCATAATATCTGGAAATGGCACACCAATACCAGATACAAATGACTCATCATTATTTTCTCAGTGTTGATTGCAATGTTTTTAATGGAATGGCATGGTTTGCTTGATGTCATGGATACTTGGGTGGATATGAAAAAGTCTTCCTGAAATTCTGCACATCTTTGCGGGCATGTAGCTCTGGTGTAGCTAGCATGAAATGTGTAACTAGAGTGGTTTAGGTCTTGAAGGGGATGTTTTATGTGAGAAGATATTGATCCAAGCATCAGATATGATGAATCAAGCTTACTTATAACTATTGGTATACTTTTTAATGAGATAAGACTGCTCTAGGCAGCACAATTCTCTGTTTAGTAAATATGCTCCTCAATGTATCATGGTTTGATCATCATCATACATTACACACCATTGATTGAGTGACAATTGGTAGCTGTTATATCTAGAAATTGTGCTCATGAAGGCTAGCCTCACAGCATGACTTATGGAAGGGCAGGATTTGAATGATGTTTTATGTCACAAATTACAAGGTGACTAGAATAATCTCCCCCAAATTGTCTCCCAATTGTTGTGGGGATGTAACTCAGAAGCTAGAGGGGTTTAGGTCCTAAGGATGGCAGGATTGTGAACAGCACCAAAGGTCTTCAAGAGAGCTGTCTTTATCAAAAACCCAGGGTAAATATGGAACACTTTGTTTAGGATGACAGAGCTGTGAACTGCACTGGATAATCTTCAGGATGGCTATCATGGTTCAAAACCTCATACAAATGTTGAGCACTGTTAAGTAGGTCATTGGGTGCTTTCTAAGGTTTCCAGCTCTGAAGCTGAATACAAAGCCAAGACAATGACGTGAAGCCAGTATGGAGCGTAATTCTGGTGGCTCTGAAGTTTGAAACTGTGAACCAAAAGTCAGCAGTTTCATATGTGTATAACAATAAGGCATCCAGTGACTGTAACATTGGTACACAAGGCACAGGGACCTAAATTGGCAGCCATGGACTTCAGAAACTCAAATTTGAAGTCAAACACATCAGTTTAGACTATGAAATCGAAAGTGAAAGTTTTGTGAAAAAATTTACAATTTCTAATAAATAAAGAGCCAATAGCTTGCAGAAAGACATACACAAGAACACAACATAATTAAGAGCATGGATAATGCAGTAGGTGTTTATGTGCAGATTTAAAAGTAATTTTTCTGGCAGTACCAGTAGGTAGTCATCCAAATTATGCTCAGCCTGCTCAGCTGGATAAAGCAGTCATGTTCAGCCTTTCAGTAGAAAATTTCAGTTATTTTGGCCACTCTAATGCATGCTAGCTTTTCCAAATTCTTGGGAAAGCTATGGAGCTTAGCTACAAATGAAGCCCTGCATGGTTTGGCCATGGACATGTCTTGTGAGAACTCAATCTTGTGCTGACGGATACATTTGAAGGTATTTGGGTCAGGTATTGTACCATTCCAAAGATTACTGAGAGTTGTAAATGGTGTGACCTCAGCCTTTTATCTCAGTGGTGGGTAGACATGAGGTACATATATATATATATATATATATATATATATATATATATATATATATATATATTGCCTTCTTCTGCTCACTTTTGACCAGGTTTTTTATTCTTTCATGCAAGACTACTGTAAATGCCAAAGGCAGGAGGGTTGGGGTTGAATCTTTGTAATTGTTTTGTTAGTTCCCTGTGTATAAATTGAAGATGCCTCTGATTCAGATTTTTGTCTTGGTGTTACATGCTTCCACTACCTGAGACTACTATCATCCTAGTGCTAGTTGTATGTCCAAGGCTTGGAACACTTCTAATATACCCCATCCAAGCCTTGGTTGATTTTGGAGTCATAATCCTCTGCTAGTGCATTTTAATATCTGCATAATGCCAAGATGTTTTTTGAGGAGGGCTCTAGGTGAGTTGTTTCAGAATTGGGGAATAAAGACAAATTAATTCATGATTCATCAAGCACAGGCATGATTTAAGGTAATTTTAAAATATAGTTTTTAGAATGGCATTAATTATGGTGCTACATCATACATGTTCTTGTGTTTTTGCTAGTACCTGTGTGACCATGTGCAATGTCACATCTTCCAGGTGGGAAATGCATTTCAGTTCCTTTTTCTGCAGGTGTGCGGAGCTTCATCAAGTCAGTTCTGACCTACTGAAGCGCCATGGACTTCCTCGAGTACAATGAGGCACTCTGCGAACAGAGGGGCGCCATGCTTGCCGGAAAGCTGCGCGTGACGGACCGTGACGTCATATTCAAATACAGGAAGACGGGCAAAACGGAACAGTTCCCGGGTGCCGACATCGAGCTGCTGAACTGGCAGCGGCTGAGTGGCGACTGGGGACTTCGGGTATTTCTGAAAAACGGCGATCTGTACAGGTTTGGTGGCTTCAAGGACTCTGATCAGGATAAGGTCGCAAAGTTCTTCCAGCAGACGTTTGGCAAGGAACTGGCGGCGAAGCAGATGAGCCTGAAGGGCTGGAACTGGGGCTCCGCGGTCTTCAAAGGCAACGCCTTAAGCTTCGACGTTGAGGACACAACGGCTTTCGAATTGCCTCTCAGCTACGTGTCCCAGTGCACCGCGGGTAAGAGTGAGGTGACGCTTGAGTTCCACCATCACGATGATGCGGTGGTCAGCCTCATGGAGATGCGGTTTCACCTGCCGCCGACGGCGGAGAACACTGATCCTACGGAGGCGTTCCAGGACCAGGTGATGAAGAAGGCCAGCGTTGTGACGGCCACTGGTGACGTCCTCGCCATCTTCCGCGAGGTGAAGGGCCTGACGCCGCGCGGACGCTATGATATTGGTATATATCCGACCTTCATCAACATGCACGGCAAGACGTTCGACTTCAAGATTCCGTTCAACACGATTCTGCGGCTGTTTCTGCTGCCGCACCGCGATGGCCGACAAACGTTTTTCGTCTTGGCTGTGGATCCTCCCATTAAGCAGGGCATGACGCGCTACCACTTCCTGATCCTACGTTTCGATCTGGATGAGGATGACGAGATGGACCTGGAGCTGCCCATCTCAGACGAAGATCTCAAGACCAAGTACGAAGGGCGGCTGCCCAAGGAGATGAAGGGGCAAGGGTACGAGGTCCTGAGCAGGCTGACGAAAGGTCTTGCCAACAAGAAGCTGATGGTGCCGGGGTCGTTCAAGGGCAACTCCTCCACGCCTGCCGTTGCGTGTTCGTACAAGGCGGCGGCCGGGTACCTGTATCCGCTGGAGCGAGGGTTCATGTACATTCACAAGCCGCCCATCTTTGTGCGCTTCGAGGAGATCCTCAGCGTCAACTTCGCCCGCAGCGGGGGTGGCACCAGAACGTTTGACTTCGAGATTCAGGTGAAGAACGATTTGGTACACACGTTCAGTAGCATTGAAAAGGAGGAGTATGGCAATCTGTTCAGCTTTGTGCAGGAGAAAAAGATCCGGATCAAGAGCAAGGGTGGCATGGAGAAGGGCGCAAACTATATGTCGGAAGACAGCGGTGATGCCGCCGACCCGTATCTGGAACGGATGAAGCGCGAGGGCGAAGAGCGAGACGAGGACGACCCGGATGATGAGGACGAGTCCACCGATGAGGACTTCAACCCGGAGGGTGACGGCGGCGCTAACTCGGACGTGGCGGAGGAGTTCGAAAGCAATCCTGAAAGCACAGAAAGTGAAGGTGGAGATTCGGACGACTCAGCCAAGAAGGCCAAGAAACTCAAGAAGAAGGAGAAGAAAGAAAAGAGGGAGAAGAAGAGAGCAAGCACCTCAAGCAACAAGCCGGCGAAGAGGAAAAAGAAGGACACGGGCGCCCCCAAGCGGCCCATGTCGGCCTACTTCATTTGGCTGAATGAGCACCGCGAGCAGATCAAAGAGGAACACCCGGGCATATCGGTGACAGAGGTTAGCAAGAAGGCAGGAGAGATGTGGCGCGAGCTGAAGGACAAGTCCGAGTGGGAGAAGAAGAACCAGGAGGCAAAGGCACGCTACTGAGGAGGAGATGAAGGAGTGGCGTGCGTCGGGCGGCGCGGTCGCGGGCAAGACCCCGAAGGCGGGGAAAAGCTCCAGCCCCAAGAAGTCTATCAGCAGCACACCGGGCACTGGCGGAGGCGCCGGTTTGGGCTTCAAGAGCAAGGAGTACATCTCGGACTCGGGGTCCAGCGAGGAGGACTCAGACGAGAGGCCGCTCAAGAACAAGGCGTCCAAGGGCGCCACGAAAGGCAAGTCTGTCAAGAAGGCGAAGGAAGAAGATGATGAGGAAGAGGAGGCCGCTTCGACCCCCGCGTCTAGTGACGAGTCGGGTGCTTCGGGGGACGACAGTGATTGAGGCCTTCCCGGCGACCCCGCAAACTGGATCGTACTTGGGATTCCGTCACCATTGTGTCATGATATTTGTCACTCAGTGTTTTGTATTGTGAAGACGGCACAGTGCCTCCGTCTTCATCTGTCAATTGTATGCTACATGTAAATAAAAGATGGTGTGCCGCCTTGCGCACATTCCATGAAGTTAAACAGCGTGTGGGCGAATAAGTAAGTGGATTAGGTTGCTGTCATTTTCCCGAAGACAACCGAAATATTTTGAAAACGTCGTGCGTTGCAGCTTAGTCAAGCCACTCGAAAATGTCTTGCGCCGTCACTAATCATTTGCTGTGATGATAATTCAGTCATCGTGTCTGAGCTGGAGGTGCCGATAGTGTAATGACTGCCCCTGCGCGTCTAGGAAACCAGAGGTTCGGGCTTTGTATCCCCGCGGTGCCCGCCCTTCCTGCCAGGGTGAGAGGCACTGGCATATAGAGACGCCTGTAGCCTATAGAGGCACACCATATAGACTCGGCAGCTGTGTCGTTAGGCCCCAGTGTCGACCACGACAGGGTCTGACCTAAACCGCGGTCGCCCTTCGATACCATTTGCCATGTATTGGGTTGATTGGCCATGATCTCAGGCTCAGTATCGGAGCACGTGGACGCCGCCGCGTGATCAGCTGGGATCACCCCAGCTGTCGCGAGCACCATTCATTCGACGGGCTGATCCGGGCACCTCTGAGTGGCTGAGTGTCACACGCCCTCGGCTCGTCGAATTTCGTTAGACGTTGCACAGCCGTCGGGCGACCCCTGCACGACTGGGCGTTCATGGTGCGTGGATTAGAATCTGTGGTGAGCTGAGTCTCCGCCCTGCGCCTCTGTGTTCGGGTGGCGAGGTCGATGTGCGGGTGGACCCGGTCGACACACGCCCGGGCCCATCCCGTTGGCCGCGGGCGGCTAGCCGGTAAAAAGCTGGTCACGGCGCGGCCAGTGAAAGTGAGTGGGCGGCGGCCGCGGCCGCGATGGTCACCGCAGTGTGGGATCTGGCGTGCTGTCGGCCGGACCGACGGCGGGCTGTCGCGGCGTGCGGCGCGGAGAGGTGACCACCGGAGTACAGCACTGCTGGCTGGCGAGTCGAAGCTCGGGTGTAAGTCGGCAGCGTACAGCACGAAGGGCTGACCACTGGCCCAGCGAAAGGGCTGACAAGGGGACTGTGGACATACTCGGGGCTTCGTCAGTGAAGCGCCGTGATCTTCGTGAGCGGGTAAGTGCTTCCCGTAATCAAATTTGACAGCCTTGGACTGGCTGACTTGTCTTATAATGCTCATGTTATTTTGTTGAAAGAGGACATTCCCAAAGTAGACTGATTCTCGCACTACATTTTAGGCATTGTAATCCTTGAAGCATGCTTGTTTGTAAGGTGGAATTGCTCATCCAGAATGAACCATTCGTGATTTATTAATCTGCATTCATCACCCACCCCTATGGTTTTTCTGAGTCCTTGTCACCCGCATGTCGCTTTTCGGTTGTCCTGCTTGTCCAGTCTCACTAGATGAGCATAATATATATATATATATATATTATATATATATATATATATATATAGTAACTTCTTCGATTAATAATGCTCAGCGAGGCTTCGAGAATCTCACGACGGACCCACACACTATAATTCAAGCCATGCCATAATAACACTTCGAAATATGTGTTCACACTGAAGAGTAGGCTGCCATGCTCATCAGTGTGCTGCCTTCAGCGGGCACCGTTCCTAGTGACAGCAGCCATGTGTCTCTGTCATGTTGCCCCCAGCTAGCACTGTTCCTAGTGACAGTAGCCATGTGTCTCAGTCATGCTGTCAGCAGTCATGCTGCCCTAGCGGGCACCGTCCCTAGCGACAGTAGCCGCGAGTCTCTGTCATGCTGCCCCCAACTGGCACCGTCACTAGTGACAATAGCCATGTGTCTCTGTCATGCTACCCCCAGCTAACACCGTTCCTAGTGACGGTAGCCATGTGTCTCAGTCATGCTGTCAGCAGTCATGCTGCCCCCAGCGGACACCGTCCCTAGTGACAGTAGCCGCGCGTCTCTGTCATGCTGTCCCCCCCCCCCCGTCCCCCTGCGGACACCGTCCCCAGTGACAGTAGCCGCGCGTCTCTGCCATTGCGCGCTCATGGTGCCGTGTGCCGGCCTACCTCAGTGGTGCGGTACCGACGTCCGGCTCGAGCCAGCCGGTCGTGTTCGCCGGCGCCGGTTGGAGCCGCGCTTGCTGTTCGCGGGTCGCCCGGACCGGTCTGACCGGCGGCTCATCCCTCCGCGGGCCCTCCGCGCGCCGGGGATGGCTCGAGCGCGCCGCGCGGCACCCACGTGACCGCGCCGCCACGGCGACAGGCTCCGGCCATGCGGTGAGTGAAACTCCCGGCTGGCGAGCAGCTGACGGCGGCGCGACGCCGGGTCAACAGGGTACGGCGTGCCGTCGGAGGCTGGCCCGTGCCGGTGTGCCGGTCACGGTGTGACAAGAGGCCTTTCAGATCCGACGGGCGAGGGGACACACCGCCAGCGTTTGCCGCCACGGAATGCACAGTCGCTTTCACCTGATTCGGTCAGACCGGTCGCTGGGACGCGCGATTGGAGACGAGGGAATGAACGTCGTGGTTTCTCCGTTTCACTAGCGGGCGACGCCAGAGGGTGTGGCTATTGACCTTGAATGCTGGACGAACTTATACGCCCATTAGCTTTTGGCCAGTCACTTTTTTGCGGTTCCCATCTTATATCGCCGATAGACATCCGTAGTCTAACTTTTTTGTCGGTTGATCGATATATGCCATATCGCTGAATGCTATGAAAGTCTGCAATATTAGATGCGTGCAAACGAGGCCGCTAGGGACCCAAACGCAAGCCACTGTAGTCCAATGGCTCTCCGTCTACACGACTGCGAGCGATGACTTGGTCTGACGTGCTGGGCCCCACCAGCAGGTCGTTGCTGAGCTGTCTGGCTGTGCCGCGGCGTCGCTGGTTTGTCGGCGTCTGCTGCGCGCTGGTCGCGCTGCTGCTGACCGCGCGCCTGCTGCTGTGCCGGGCGCCGCCCAGCGCCGGCAGCGGCCTCTCGCGGCGCGTAGGCCATCATCGGCCAGCGCATCCGCGCCCAGCGGGTCATCAACAACCAGACATTCGAGCGGCTGACGGCGCCGGCGGCCGGCTGCACGGCCAGCACGGCGCTGCTGGTGCTGGTCACGTCGGCCGTCGACAACTGGGAGCGCCGCCAGGCCATCCGCGACACGTGGGGCGGAGGTGACGCCCTGGCCGAGGTCGGCGGCCGTCTGCTCTTCCTGCTGGGCGAGACAGAGCCGGAGAGCGCCGCCGCCATTCGGGCCGAGGCGCAGGAGTACGGCGACATCCTGCAGGAGGCGTTCAGAGACTCATACCGCAACCTCACGCTCAAGACTATGATGGGGCTCCGCTGGACGGCCGAACACTGTGATAAAGTGAACTTTGTGGTTAAGACGGATGACGATATCTACTGGAATTTGCCGCTGTTAATGTCGCATCTGGAGACATTCGATGACAGAAGGTTCATCACAGGTAAGAGGCAAGAGCAGTGCCTCTCTGATATTGTCGCAAATCGAGCTGGGTTTTCCGTACTTCCCGACTTTTCTTTGCATTATTCTTGAATGCGCAAGTATTTCGGCAAGCGGTTTGGCTGAAATCCACGCATGCACTTCATTCGTTTCGCCCGTCGTCTGCATCGTCAGAGCTGGCCTTCAGTAAATGGCTTCTGAGGCACACCCTTTCCTGGCATTTTTGAACGGCATACTTCGCCATAGCAGACCACTTGACGGTTGTGCGGCCTCCGCTCACCGCTGACGCGACGCGTGCCGCCCACATCACCAGGGTGCATCAAGCAGTACTCGGCGCCGGAGCCCATCAGCATGAGCGGCGCGCAGGCCCCGCCCGGCTACCCGCTCTTCGCCGCCGGCGCCGGCTACGTCCTGACGGGCGACCTGACGGCCGACCTGTACCAGGCCGCCCGCCGCATCCGCCTGCTGCCCGTCGAGGACGTCTTCATCACCGGCTTCTGCGCCAAGATGGCGCAGGCCTGGCCGCCGCGTCACCACGAAGGTCAGTGGCGAGGGGCGGCGCGCGGGTCGGATGGGACGGGTCGGCCGCCGTTCACGCACTGTGGTCAGGGGTTTTGCTATGTGGGCTGGCGGTAGCATTTGTAGGTGGCTGGATTGAAGAGGATGGTGGAAAAACGTGACCTGGCGTGGCGGGCAGGTGAAGCTTGTACGTTAAATGTGAGAGTCTCGAGACTCATTTGACGTGAATTGCGTTACATCCGCCGAACGGCCCGGGAAACATCTCCAAAATACCGGAAAACCATTATTATAATCCGGACAAACAAGCAATGCATTACGCCAATTTATTCTGGAGTAGAGACGATGTGTGACAGATGACCATGGGTGGAGCCGCTCGTTTAAACATTAAATCATTTGGGGTTTAACATAAATATATTTTATTCCGACATTAGGCGAGGGTAACTGACTGGCGGAACTTTCCTCATGTGTTTAAGTATAAAACACACGCCGCTTTATATAAACCCCGCGTGCCTAGCTTGCGCCGGTGGCCTAGCGCTGCTTCCAGTAACGAATGGCCAACGTGACCGTTGTGTATTGTCATATTAATTATAAATTAGCAGTTGCATCACGTGTTTTTCGTGTGACATTGTTTTATAATACGCCCCTTGTATGTTGGTATCTAACTCTCAATTACCTTTCATATACAACTTGTTTTAGCAACCTTTATGATCAAATGTATTGAACCCCCGGCAACTTTAGCCTGGCCTTCAATACGTATGCCCCTCTCGAACAAAATGACCGGTTATCTAATGACCTCATGGCATATGCTGATCGTGCCACGCTGCGTCCGCGAAAAACAGAGGTATTTAATCGCACAGTGATTTCGTTGTTTGAGTAGCGTGCGCCTAGCCAAAGAACGCTCTTGCCTGCGTGCGAGTCCCGACGAGTTCCCCGAGTCCCGACGTAATTACCGGCTTCCAATGTATGGGCCATCCGATTTGCAGGCCCCGTGATCCCTCAATGCACAGTATCACACAGGTTACCACGCCACGAGAATCAATGTTTTGCTTTGGTCGGCGCGTGAGAATGTCGCCGACACATTTGCAAGGCCTCATCCCTAATTGCGTGCCAAGCCACTGCGTAAATTCATGACACGCGTTGGGGCATCAGCGAGGTACTTAAGAGCAACACTGTATTGAACGCCAAACGTAACATTATCTTGGTAGCTTGCCCCGAAGTCATATTCACCGATCATCAATCATCGATTATCCGTCGCTTCTTTCAAACGTTGAAGTCAGCCTACCTTGCTCGGTTAGTTACTTTATGATGTCTTACGTTATCCACCCATGTCCTGCATTACCCCCTTAAACCGCGTGTCATCCACCTACGCACGCCCCTGGCCGTTTCTTCCGGTGCTCTACCCCCAACACCCCACATCCACCGGGACGGCCTGGCCGGATATGGGGCGCCGTCCCGCCGCTCTGTCCGCCATGCGCCCCGGTCGGCGGGCTGTGTGGGTGCCGGCCCGGTTCACACGGCAGCGGCAGCGTCGGCCGTCCGCCGGCCCGGCCCGCGTCAGCTGCCAGCTGAGCCCGGTCAAAGGAACAACGGCGGCCACCAGACACTGGTGCCACGGCCGGCGCACGCGCACCGGCGACATTTGTTGTCGTTTTTGCGCCGGTGACTGTAGGCGTGGATACAGCCTGGCGACTGCTCCCACAGACACGCTGGGGACTCTCAAGAAGAGAACTGTAGACTTTTGAAGCCGCGCGATGTTTTGTGATACCCGAAGCCTTGAAGTGAGCATTAATCACTGGCTTGAAGTCGATTTGTGAAGCCCGACATTCAGCGCACCTCATTTCGATTTACTGCCGTGAACAAAATGAAATGAGACACTCTTCGGATACACTTCACACTTTTCGGCTACACTTCCACTTTTTCCCCTTTTTCCCACCGATAACTGGAGTCCGTGTTCGCTGTGCCTCCCGCCTGTCGCTGTGGGCTCAGCCCCACGGATGCACTCGCGGGGCACACTGTCGGAGGAAGTCGTCCTGAGCTCTACCCTAGGCGAGCCGGAGACACGGCTGGCTGGAGGCTCGGACAGCGGGCGCCCTGGGAGCGCGAGACGCTGCGAGCACCGGCCGGCGGGCGGTTCTGCGGGGTTTGGCCATGTGGTGTTTTAATCGACGGCCGACGTAGGCGCCCATTATTCACATTGTTTCTGTCGTCGTGTATTGATAATGGGAACGGGAGGGAAGTTAATTGTTTTGAATGCGAAAGGCGAAATTGGGATAGCGGTAGTGCGCCGTATTAACGTAGCGGGAAGTCGGCGGCTTTGAAGGCTCTAGAGACGATGGTTTGAAAAAGAAGACAAGGCAACGCCATGGGGAGGAAACACGCATCATACAATGTCATTATCTTTTTTGCTCTGTCTGTGTCAGGTCTGTCTGCATTATTCGACAAAATGGAACCTTAAAGGATTGTTTAAGAAACGTGACTCCGAGGGTTAGAACTTACTACATTGGCTATTAATATAAGATAATCGTCTCCGTATTCTTCACGTTAAGCACTTCCATACGCCCACAGATCATTTTTGTGACAAGCGGGCCGTACCTCGAGGCCTCTCCCTCCCCCCCCCCCCCCACTCCCTCCAATACAAACCAACATGGGGTGCCCCAACAGAGCTGTGACTACAGAGAAACTTTATATGCCTTTGTTTTAAATGGGACCTTCAGACGTTTTTGTGCCCTCCTGAAGCTTTGAAAACAAATTTACTATACATCTGCCCCGTCCTTTTGTGGCGCCAACGTTCGGGGTCCGTGGATATCCGAGGCCCGTTTTGGTGTCCGTTTTAGTGAACAGTGCAAAGTCATGAGCGCACTTGACTTTTGACGTTATGTTCTCGTTGCACGCGGTCCCATCACTTGCTGAAGTAGGGCTACAAGCCCTTTGTATTTTACTGGCGATGTTGTTTTTGGCTGACCCTGGCTGGAGGCTATCTGGATTCGTCTACAGTTTCAGTGATGATACCGCACGTATCGGTCGCCGGCCCGCGTCATACCCGGGCGGGCCGTGATCACCACGCAAGCACGTCACCGCGGCGCGCATCACACGCGGCCAGCGGTCCCATGCGGGGCAGTAAACACGTGCTGGCTGCCAGTTTTATCAGACAAGCCGCTGGTGACCATGTCATTTCCATGCATCGCTGTCGTGGGATATTGTATTCTGCTTTCAGGACTTGACGTAATTTTCCTGGCTTGGTTGATGTATTGCAAAGCCTGAAACGTCGCCTGGCCCGATATGTCGATTTCAAAGCATGCACCCAGGTGACTTTCCGGTGGGCCAGCGTGGTTGCCGAGCTGGCGTGGTGATCGTGGCTGGCCGGCGCGGGGCCTGGTGTGTGACGCGTTCTGTCCGACTCGGCAGGCTTCAGCTGCGGTAACATCCTGGCCGACGACTGTGACCTAGTCCAGCTGTTCAACGCGCACAAGATCACGCCCGCCCGCCAGTACCTCATCTGGGACAAGTTCACCACTGATCCCAACCCATGCATGGACTTCTAGGAGTCACCCGGTGGCGGAGCGGCTCATCCGGCTGGAACGGGGATCTGACGCTCGATAAAACGCGGAGTGGTTCGATGGCCTATGTATATCCTTGGTTTGGGCATGTGTCCGCCTCACTGCACGGGTTGAAAGCCAGACTGCTCTCCGCTCATTTTGCAGCATCTCAGTTAGGATTGTTCGCGAATCGACACAGCCAGGGGCACTACCAATGGGTAGAGCGGGGGCGGGAGGGGCGCCGGTACTCCGCGCCACTTCCATGGCAACAATGCTGATTGTATTGTTTCATCGGTGTGTTCCCCACAACTCTATGCTCCGCCTGGAGGCCCAGCAAGAAGCTCCAGGTCATCGGTTGGACCTTAAGTGTCAAAACACGCGTTATCGCTCATGGGACCAGTCCATGTGCAATGAACATGATTACATGCTTCGACGCCTGATTGATCCAATGACACATTTTGTATTAAAACAATTCTTTGTTAGACCTGCATTCGAAGAAACTGTCGGCGAGGATACCATTCGCGCGATCTCAATCAAACACATCAACATTCTTGGGTACACCCAACAGGAGTGGAGACGAGACCAAGGACGCCATCAGATAGAGGAGGCACAAGGCCTTAGAGTGTTCTCACAACACTGACTTACACTTATATCAATGACAAGTCCAGGACCCTTCGCAAAACTCACAGAACCCCATGGACGAGTCGGTTCATCTGGAACCTCGAGGGACATGACGTCCCGGCCCACCAACGCTGCCACTCGCATGGCAGGCTGATTACCTCCGCTAGACGAACCAGCACCGCGCCCAGCTGCTGCGGCAGACTGCTGGGGCTGGCGCCGCAGCTTCGGTCCAGTACTGCCACGCCCGGCGCGTGTCGGCCCCACGGCGCGTCCCACCCGTCACACGCTGGCGCGATGCAGATTCGTGCTAAAGAGGCATCCGACCAAGACCGGCTACCAAGAAAAAAGGCCTTCCAGTTCGATGCAAATTTTGTGCTAAATTTCCTTATGCAAGTGGGTCGACAACATGAAATAATGAAAGGCGTACAAAGGAAGCCGTACTTTGGAACGAGCTTGCTATCTGGCCAACCGGACTCGCTTTCCCACCCATCGCCATTGTCATCCATTCATGGGCCTATGACACTCAGATCCACTGATAATGCCAATAAGGGCGACACTTGTATAAGCTGCCATTCCGCCTTATGCTAAGGTGCAAATAACGTGAGGCTTGCAGCGGTGCCAGCCACGAATCATCCGCATTGTACTCTATTATCAGCGTGTCATCTTCAGTTCTGGCCGCGCCCCGTCTCACCGGGGCGTGTACCGCTCCCGCAGCTAAGGCAGTCAGGAGCCAGCTACTTGGCCGCTCTGGCGGAGCCCCCGCCCGAGCGCCCGCGCGCCCCAAGGGGTCTCTGAGCTCAGTAGCGGAGTCTCCTGCAGTGATGGCAGCATTGCCAACTTGTAGGCACCAATTGGACAGCGCTAGCTGAAGGGCTCTAATCGAAATCAAATAAAATAAAAAGAATGAAATGTGCCGATCAGCGAACCTGTTCACTCACCATTTTTGCCGTACTACGGACAGAACGCGCTCACCATGACCTTCAACTCGTTAAAACAATCCAAAAGGTTTGCATAGGTGGCTTTGGGTTCGCAGCACCCACTGAGCATCGCTCGTTGCGTGAGCTCAGAACGCACCACTCTGGTCGTGCCGTCCAGTTCAACGGATGATTATACCTTCGCTTTCTCCAGACAGAAATGCGACGGGGTTCAAGTGCTTCGGCAGTCTGCCGTAATGCCCCGTGTTCAACATTTTGACCCCGCGCGATACCAAATCATTTGCATGTAATGTATCACCACGGAGCCTTAGCCACGCCCCCGAGCAACCTTATCTATCCCGAGTACCGACCACGTTCACGAAAGCTTAAGGGCCGCTGTTCATCTGAATCGGCGCCCGCGTGCAGACAGCGGCCGGCCGGCCGCCGATCACAGCCCCCCACCAGTCAGCACAGCGCAGGGTCGCAGTATCGACCTCCCGGTGATCCCAGTAGGCTGGATGATGTCAGAACGGCCTCAAAAACAGACTGTAATAGACCACAGTCACCTACCACAGACTGTGAAAGGCCACCGGTGACTCGCGGAGGGACCGTCATGCCTGTGTTCAGGACTGCAAACGCAAGCCACCACCACCGTCTGTATTGGCCATCACCGGTACACCATCCGTACGAGACAACTAATTCTGCCAATGGCTTCATAGGTGTGCAATCATACCTGAGCTAAACCTACACAATCCAAGATTCAAGGGACCAACGGACCCATGTGTTGCAATGCGTGCAACGAGGTCAAATACCATCTGGCGCAAAGATATGTGCATGACTCGCGCAATGCTGCGAGCATCGAGGCCTTTCACTTAAAACCTAGTAAACAGATACCAGCAAAAACAGAGCCGACAGGGAAGACAGGTCCGCTTTCCAAACAGCAAGGCATGACCAATAACGCCGAAGGTTACAGCCGTCCGGTATAATACTTGCTAATCGTGACGCGCGCTGCCCACTCCAGGCCTGGCACACGCTATGGTGGCCGAAATCGCAACGGATACCATTTTATGACCGGGCTAAACCTATCCAACCGTGGCTTTTGCTCTTATCTCAAAGCCACGCAGCGATCGCCGTCAACCGCCGCCTCCTTTCGCGGACGGCACGCCCGTCAGCACCTCAGCCACGTTTGGCACAACCCGTCGCCGACACGGCAAGCCGTTTCCGACAGCCGGCCGCGACTCCGGGCACGCTCTAGCCATCGGCTCGCTGCCGAACCGCGTCTCAGTCCGGCAACAGGCACCAACACGGCTCAACAGCGTCCGGCCGTTCAACAACGAAACACGGAATGACAAGCAAACTACACGTACGTGCTTTGGTCTCGGTTGGTGACGGGAGCTATGCGCTTAAACTACGACTGGCACCCTCACAACAGCCCTCGGGAGAAACGATCGCAGGCCGGCACAGGCCCTCTGTCTTCCGAGCACACCCTGGGCTGAATACTGGCACGACGCGCTCCGTTTCCGTACAGATCCGACAGCGCTGAGTATTATGTTGTAAAGTACTGCTAACAACGCGGCAATCGCACCATCAATTATGACAACGGGCAACGCAGCCCCGAATCGCGTCATACTCCAGGAGACAGCGCGACAGGCACGAGGCGGGCCAGTGACTGGCTCAAAATATTACAAAGGCTTGAACAATCGCCGGCTCTCCATGGGGGGAGCACCGTCCGACGGGGGTAACAAGGCCTCTCCCGCACTACTCGCGAACGATCGAGGACGGACAGGCGCAAGACGTGGCCCACAATCGCCAGACACGCGGCAAAATACGCGCAAAAGCCACAGCTTTTGATTGATCGGCCCGGCGTACGCCAACTGGCACCAATCTAAATGGTCCGCTAATTGCAAGACCCCAGACGGATTCGAAAGTTCATCCACATTGCCGGTGACACTCGACGCCATTCCGGTGTTACAAGGACTATACTCCGCTACCGCATATGCCAAAATTATTGTACTGATCAGCTTTCAAAAGCGGGACTCCGCGAAAAAACTGGCGTGTCCCACTTAAACTAGCAAATAGCTGAACCGATGGATGCTTCAGATCCAGATAGTGAAAATTGCATTATATTCCAAAACAGTCGTTACGCTAGATAGTCGGCAGCCATTCAATTATGTGTAACTGCTTTTCTTAAAAGCTGACTCGAAAACTGAATTGGCGTGTTCCTGTTTGATTCGCACGTCCTGACATCACCTGCCACGGGCACCGGTGGCGCCACCTGCACCGGACAGCGCCAGCCTGCAGGCGCCAGGTTGACGCGTGCCAGCCGGGAGCTTATGGCGCTACCTCGCGGCCACGGCACCACCACCAGTAACGAGCACCCCTGGCGCCGGCGGCGCACGTGCGGCGCCGTGCCGGCACGTCACCGCCGTCGCACGGCGCCAGCATGTGACGTCATCACGTGGCGCGGGCGTATTGGCGGCGGTGCTTCTCGTCGATGCCGGTCAGGTAGTAGGTGCCCGGGAAGAGCATGCTTGGGTCGGCCTTGGGCGCGTAGGGAGCTGCGGCACAGGGACGCGCGGTCACACGGTGCCCGCACAGGAGCGGCGGGACGCCAGGCGACCCGCGGCAGCTGTGCGAAGATAGCGAGCGACCGGCGAGTGGTGGTGCTGCAGCATTCAACGAACAAAAAGCACAACGAATCAACAAGTATTTGGTGATCCACAAAATCCCCAACTGGTACAGCGACGCAAGAAATGCGCTGCCGTAGGGAACAAAACACCTCACAGAAAACCTCGCCGAACTTTTTCGTACGTGTGATTTACATCACTTTAACGATATCCATGAAGATTATGGTGCCCTGGAGCAGCGTCTACCGTCAACCCGGTACAAATATTTATCTCATTTAGCAGTCATTGCATCGGACCTAACTGGCTGGTCACACTTGGTCAGTGTCGCAGATCGCCCTGCGCCTCAGCGCGGAGGGCGTACGACCGGCGGCGGCCCATCCGCTACCCACCCAGGTGGTGCGACTGCTCGCGGAGCTGCATCGTGTCGGCGAATGCGGCCGGCTCCACCTTCTGACGCGCCTCCAGGCGGCCAACCACGTCACTGACGCCCGCCAGCTAGAACAGGAGGGCACCGCGTTACCGCCCGCTCCCACACCGCCCAGCCGCTGAGCCCGTGAGAGCGCCCGGCAGGCGGACACGCGGCGCATCCCAACTCCACCCCGGCACCGTCGCTTCAGCACGGAGGCGAGGCGAGGTGTTGCAGCGAAGAGCGAGGCAGAGCCAGCGGCGGAAGATAGACGAAACAGTGGACAGGACCAAGCGGGGAAGGCAGTCGGCTGTGCGCTGGTGACGTCACGGCGGCGCCCGGCCCGCGCGGCGGCGGCGATGCTGCTAAGAAGGCACGGCCACACCACAGCAGGCCTCGGCTTCGCTGGTTCCGCGTCTCGATGGAAGAGACACATCACCAAATGTCCACATCAGATCTGCACGCTGAACCTACAGTCTCCCTTCGCTGGGCTACATGCGTCGACTCGCGCGCCGGCCGACGCTGAGCGGCGCGGGGTTGTCTCGCGCGAGATGCTGGGGACCACTCTGCGCGACACTGCTCGGCGTCGAGGGCGACCCACGGACGTCACATACGTCGCCAACAGGCACAGCCAATCAGGTCGTGTCACACGTCGGCACGACCTATCTCAAATCCGAGGCGAGAGAAAACGCGCGACGAGATCGTCCCGGGATACGAAGTTCAGAGATGACATTTGAGGCGGCCATTGTTATGGCTGAAGCATCCGTTCAACGGAGGAAATTTACACCGCCCGCGCGTTAGACGACCAGGCAGGGCACCGACCGAGCGCCGGCTGTGCCACCCGACGAAGCAGCCATTGTCCAGAGCCGCCAGCGGGCCCCGCTCTCGCCGCCCTCCCGCGGCCGCCGGTGCAGTCGCCGCTCAACAGGCCACAAACAGCATGCACTATGAAGCGGCGCGAAGCCTCATTGTTGACGCAACCTCGCTACACCGTTGTTGGGATCCCGTGCCGACAGACGGGTGCTCGGAGAGAGCAACGCGTAGCTGGCCACGCTTCGGACCCGGCCCGGTAACGACGGAGTCAGGTCAAGCGACGTTCGGCAGAGCATGCTGTATTTCCCCAAAACTGGGACTGAGTGAGTGGAAAAAGGCGGCTACGGAATGCCGAGCAACTGCCTCTTACATACCTACCACGGATAGGAAAATTGGACGGACCGACTCTTCGTTAATTCCATCTGAGAAACTACGTTGAAGAGTGTAAAATTGGTGTTTTCAGTTCAGTCAGACGAATGCAAAGCGATCCTGTGTCCAATTCAAAGCGCTGGATTCTTCGTTTCATGAACAAGAATGCGACGACAGAGATGACTGGCATTGAGTTAGCATGCAGCCTTAGCGCCGACTCCCGGCAGTCCAGACGAGTGGACTGGATGGATATCCACATCATTTGTGTCGTCGTTCATGGTGACCGTAGTTCCAGCCACTGAAACGTGACGTTCGGGACAACACGCTTTGCTGTTGTATCTGCAATTGATAATTTACATATATACGGTAATAATGACCCACTTTCTCCGTCCTTCGGATAAGGAGCCATAAGTTTTCCAAACGGAACATTGGTGTTCCATTGCATTAAGTAAATGTTGACTACTCGCAGTGCTAGATTTTTTCACGCGGAAGAATGAATTCATCACATACGGACGTAGGTGGAAATAAGAGGCTAAAAAAACTACTGAATGTAAGACGCCCTTGATGCCTTTTATGACAGACGTTGGTGGAAATAAGAGGTTAAAAAAACTACTGAATATAAGACGTCCTTGATGCCTTTTCTAGTTAACTGCTTGCCTACGCCAATTTACACATCGTGCATCGGCATTCCGACGGAAGCAACCCAGCACGGGATCAGAGCCCCAGCCGAACCCCCGGGCGCACCGACCACCCGTTTCGACGTTTGCCGCCTGTCACACCGCAGCACGTGCGACCCCGCGCCGCCGTGGGAACCCCTCCAACAGCAGCGGGCGGGCAGGCGGGCGGACGGGACGTTCCGTCCGCCGCCCTTCACTTGACCTAGAGCGGGCGCGGCGGGGCGCGGCGCGACTCGCCGGGTGGCATCCGCCGGGGAACCGGCCCCACCCGGTACCGCTGATGCAAACAAGCCCGGACAAAGGGGCGCCGCACACCGCCGCCGCCACCGCCGCCGCTGTACACAGGACGCGCTATTCGCGGCACCAAGGTCGGCAGTGACAACGGCGGACGGAGGCGGCAGGCCCCGACCCGTCGAGGAGCTCGGCGGCACTCGCGGCCGCCCGTTCTGCATAGCTGCCGTTTCAAGAGCGGGCAGGTATGAGGAAAGGGATATGCAGTTTTTTTTTAATTGATCCGCTGCCAGCGGCTTGTCCCGCCAGTCTCGCTGGTCGTCGTCACACTGCGTGGCCCCGCCCTGGAGCCGCCTTCTGCCACCCATTACTGTCTCTTGGAGCCCATCAGTTCTTGCCCAACAACTTGACAAACACTTTCGACTACGTAGGCTTTCACCCTCTGCGTTCGTGGCGTCTTGGGGTGTTTGTCATTCTCATACCATTTTCCTTGTTATACCCTACATACAGTACAGAAACACACATCGAATAAATTGTAAACGCGTGAGCTGTTCTGAACCGCCAAACTCACCAATGCCTCCAGGCGAGATCCGGATCCATTGGTGGTGGCAATCCGGATCGAAAACAGTGACGACGCCAGTCCAGATCCGTACGAGAAGAGCGCTATCCGACTCCCCGTCAGCTCGTCGGGCTTTTTGCTGAAACCAATCAGCCTGCATTCAACGCCATTTAACGATAGCTATTGCGTAAAGGTGCGAGCGAATCTGTCCACACTCGAGAACGATCACTTATTCCAGTGAACAACATTGGTGAGCTTTGCATCTTTAAAAAGCCACGCGGAAAAGTCCTTGAACACTAACTTAAGCTCCATTGCTCTGCATTGCCACAGTTGTGTTAGCCACGGCTCGGGCGTTCGCTGCTGCTGGAAACTGGAAACTAGCGTGTAACTTGTAACACGAGTGAGAGCGTTGCAAATTACCAGGGCTTTCAGCACATTTTCTAGTAATCAAGAGCAGTGTGAAGGCGCTCACCTGACCAGCAGCGAGACGAGACAGCTGTACAGCGAGGGCGTGTACATGTTGCCCACGTTGGAGGCCAGCAGCAGCGACGGCTTTGTCTTCTGCTCGAACTGCGCCCGGCTTCGCTCCATGAAAGCCTTCTCCACGTCGCGGTCGAAGTAGCTCTCCTCCAGCGTCTTGCTCCTGGGCGCAGCACTCGTTTGACTGAGCGGGGAATCATGCCAGCTCCAGCGGCCGGGTCCATCCTGAGAGTGGCAGTGCCACCCTGGCCGCGCTCGCCTGGGCATCCGGCGCAAAACTGCCGTGATACCAACCAGCACGGATTACGGAATGGGGTGCTCGACGTAACACACGCATCGTTTCCCACGCCTGGCCGCGTCGGTAACCTAGGCGACTTCGGGTCGACGGACAGCCGGCCACTGGGACGTGATCAACACGTCCCAGTTCGCTCCCGTCCACCTCTCGGAGCGTCTCAATCCGCCCCCCCCCTCCCCCCCCCCTCCATGACCTGAGCGCCTCTGCTGTCGCCCGCTGACCACAGCGTCTCACCGCGCTGCGGTTCACTAACCTGAACGCCTCCAGTCCGGGGAACCGCTCGGGCACGGCGGCGGCGTCCGTCTCGAGGAAGTCATTGAAGACCAGTCTGGCCAGCGACTTCTGCACCAGCTTGCCGAACGGCGAGTGGAAGAGAACGGCGTCGAAGGAGTCGACCGTCACTGGACCGCCGCCTGAAAAGAAGGAGTGCGTCAGCTTGTTTCGCCACAGCGCGCCCACTCCAGATATCCAGCCCCACCACCGCCGCAGCACGAAACATTCGGACCATCCAATCTCGACACGGAATACGGGGGGCTTCGTCCATCACACTCATACTTTGGAGCACCGGCGCCAAACGCCGGAAAATGGGCATTGCAAGCATAACACTGCAATGTTGAGTAATAAACAACCTTGGAAGCCGCGGCTCCAGCGCCGGAATGACGCCCTCGACCCCAGCAGTAAATCGTCTGGACGACGCAACGGCCCGTGAACGGATACGCACACATCGAGTGCTCACAAGGCGACTCCATTCCGTGTATTTTCTATCGATTACCGCTTATTTCAGCGCTCCAGAACATGGCCGATCGTAGGTTTATATTTATTCCATTCTGTCCCTTAGAATTGAGCACAGATTCCACTGCACCAATTCGGCAAACACATCCACTTGCGCCGCCATCCATTTCTTGCCCGAGCTGTGACACTACACCCTGGCTTCAACTACGTCATACCATCCGTTTCTTCGGGACTTTCCCAGCACGAGATCGTAGCTCGCTCGCAAACATCCGGTGTTTGCCGCAGAACGGTCGGACAAAAACCGCACGCCTGCTAGGGAATGCAATGGCGCACGCCTGCTAGGGAATCCACCGGCGCGAGGAATTGCTGTGCCTGCTGGCAGCTGCTGTACAAGCAGCTACAGCGCCGGATTGTTGACACGAGGGGAAAACATGGCATGTGATAACAAACCCAAAGGTCAGCCTGCGTGTTAACTTTGTTATGCGTTTTGCTGTGTGTCACATCTGGCTGTCGCGTTTTCTGAGAATACCAGCTCGTGGATAATGCTGCCGGACAAGCCTGATGGTTGCTGCAACTGGACTTCGCTGATCGGGCTACGGGCCGACACTTTGGATATTCCAACAATGGTGTCAAATACAAAACGTTTATAGAGCTTTTGGCCAGACATAACCGTATCGAACTGTGAGGATATCAATGGCAAACCAATACAAAATGCAAACTGATTGCTGTCCGTCAATGGTACCATCGTTGCCGCGTCAACATAAATACATACATGTGTATGAGTGCGATGGCAGCCAGTCTCAGTGAGCACGGCGGCTCTCTAAAGGCGTAAAAGAAAAGAAAATGTTTGATGCTAGTGCTGGAGACATCATTATCCGTCATATCGCAGATCTCACGCATGCAAAATAGCAGCACCTTTAACCACCGCTGCGACAACATCCACAAGGTCGTACCAGCGGCCAGACTTGATGACCCATTCCCCGACTGAGTTTCCCCGCGCGCATGCCTCTAACGGCCCACCGCCTTACGCGCGTTCCGTCCATTTCCGGCGGTCGTGGCCGGCGCGCTGGCGCCCTCCGACCTTGCGGCGCGCCATGGCGCGGGTACGCGGCGCGCGCCGGCCGGTCAGTGAACCCAGCCGAGACGATTACGATCGGGGAAGGCGCGGAATCGCCGCGGCTGCGTCCGCGCCGCTCTGGAGCGGTCACCGCCGGCGGCGACCGGAGAGTAACGGCACGGCCGCACGGCGGGAGGCTGGGGTCGGGAGCGGACTGGTGCCGATCGGGCCCTGGCGAAATCGACTCCGACAGGTCCTTGCCGCTCAGGGGTCGATGGAAGCTCACTCAACGCAGCGCTGTGTCACTTGATATGACCCCGAAATCATTTCAGGAGGATGCGGTGCCAATCTTGAATGACTCTCACTGAGTAGTAATAAAATATCAAATAGATTCCGGTTGTAATGGTGAGAGCCACAGGTTTTATAGGTTGTAACTATAAAGCCACCTTTACGGGGAGCATGGGTGCCTACATGCAAACTTTGGTTTCGTGACCAGAAGTAGACATGTGACATGGTTTATTTGCTGCCCACGTGGCTTGTCTGACTTCAAGCATCTGCCACACGACATATTTGCTGGAGTCCAGTGATTGATGACAAACCTACATAAACGGTTCATCTCTTACTCCACCTAAACAAAATACCAAGTGAAACCACTCCATGACACAACCTGAGCTTGGTTCATTCCAGGTAGGTATCTATGGTGGGTATCCTAGAGCGCAGGGCGACACGCGCAGCCGAAGCAGTGGAGGTCACTTTGTAAGTGTTTACTGCCTGTCTCCAAGTGATAGATGTCACGGGCATTGTGAAGCCGACAGCCATTAGCGAGATCTGACACTAACGACTATAGAGTGAGGCAGACGCCTTCGCCTTTGAATAGTGCCTAAGGTTGCCAGCTTCTAGTATATTGCAATCGCATTGTGTCATAAAGAAAAAACCGCAATACTTTTGGCCAATGGCCCGGACCACGAGGACGGGACATGGCAAAGCATCTATTAATAATCACACTGCTTATGTTAAGTCACTGATTTCAGTTGAAAAATCGCTATCCGCCTTGTCACAGGAGGGGGAAAAAGGAGCCAAACTCGAATCATATGACGCTTTCCTCGCAGCATGACACACTGCAATTGCAAGGTGTTGTTATTCGAGCCAACGAATTGGGAGCCATTTTCCGAAAACAGTCGCAAGAAAAGTTTGCATGCCGGATGTTTCGTTTCTCGAGCAAGGTTGTAGCAAACCTCAAAGGCACAGATGGATCACGCAAAAAGTGTGTTATCTACCGGAAAGCAACGTGCGTCGGTCGCAACATATTGTTTCTGTAGGACGATACGATCCCAGGTCATTCATTCCGGAGGACCCGCTTCCTGTTTTGAGCGACACGACACCCCACAAGGACTGACGCAATAAATAATGACAAGTTATTTTAACGTCGCGAATCCATTAAAGCATGTGTATTCCAAAAGCTGACGACATACTGCAACTACAAAAAAACACCCTCCAGTGTACAGGACCATTACGCCATTATCAATGTTGTTCAGGGTAATTGTACGCTTCTACCAACCCCCTCGCACCACTGGGGCACGGCTGGTTGATAGCAAAGACCAGCGGGCACTAGCTCCCACTAGTGCTGATTTCCCACGGTGTTACGAGGTCAATAATCTAAGCAATTTCTTGAAGTAATCAACCGCATAAGGTAATTCATGGATTTAAACAATCAACAATCACCGATCAAACATAAAGTGGAACTGATCAAGCGATAGGCGATAATGCCTTCCACCTACACAACACGCAAGATTATTTGAAGGACATCCAAATCTGTCCGGGCGAACACACTGGAAGTCCCCCCTCCCCCCCCAAAAAACAAGTAAATCTCGCATGTGCAATATTTGATAGCCCGCTGGAACACTCCTAGTTGAGCAGCCGGCCGACCATGCCGGCGGCTGCGTGACCCCTCCGGACCAGGGAGCGCTGCTGCTTCCCGAGAGCGGTCGCCGCTGGCCGCCGGGAGGGGACCTACCTGGGAGGGCCGCTGCCTTCTGGCGGTAGCGCCCGTAGCACCGGTCCAGCGCGCTCAGGTAGCACTGGATGCTGAGCCGGCCGTCCACCACCGGGTACTCGGAGTTCAGGTCCGGCTTGTAGAAGTCGTATGCGTGCTGCATGTGGCTGGAGCGCAGACCTGCGGACGGCAGCCGGAGCGGGCCGCTCAGCCGGGCACTCCGCGACGAGGCCCACTCTGCACCGCACAGAGCGGGCGCTCCGTGACAAGATCACCTCTGCACCGCACAGAGCGGGCGCTCCGTGGCGAGACCAACTCTGCGCCGCACAGAGCGGGCGCTCCGTAACGAGATCACCTCTGCACCGCACAGAGCGGGCGCTCCGTGACGAGATCACCTCCGCACCGCACAGAGCGGGCGCTCCGTGACGAGACCAACTGCACCGCACAGGGTCGGCTGACGCCGCCGCACATAGTCAGCTGACTGCACAGCATGGCTCCTTGACGCATCCGCACATGCTGCTGACGCTAACGTACTGCCGCCTAGTCAAACTCCCTCGACTCCGACAATATCCCTCATCACCCAAACAGGCCTGCATCGGAGCGAGTTCAGTGCAATGCCGAGTCTGCAGACACGATTCAACTGAAACGACCGGATACAGACACACCTCAGTCAGGTGCAAGCCGCCGGCCGCAGCCAAACAAGCCCTGGCCCAGCGCAAACGACAGCCGGCCCAGGGGCAATCTCAACCACGCCCGCACCGTTTGTCAGACGTACACATCGTGTCGGGGCCGACGGCCGGCCGCCGACTCACCCCGCTCGACCACCAGCGGCGCGTGCGGTCCGACCAGCATGGCGACGGCGCCGGCGCCGCCGGTGGGCCGAGCGCTGCCCGTGGCGTAGACGGCGATGTCGCCGCACACCACCAGCGCCAGCCGGCCGTCCCAGGCCGACGACTCCACCCAGTTGAGCGCGTTGAAGAGCGCCGCCGTGCCGCCGTAGCAGGCGTTGGTCGTGTCGACGCCCTCGATGTCGGCGGCGGCGCTGGCCGGGAACAGCTGCATCAGCACCGACTTCACCGACTTGGACTTGTCCACGAGCGTCTCTGTGCCCACCTCCAGCCGGCCGATCGCCTCGTACGCTGCCGGGGGACGAAGCCCTCAGGACGGCACAGTGCGCTGGCAGGATGGGGCGCGCGCGTTGGGCACAGGCGCGAAACATATGCCCAGGCCACGAAACTCGACCATCGTGAGGTAATCAAGCTAAAGTGGTCTACTGATGCCATGCAAAACGCCGGTTAGGCGAAAAGCAGTCCGAAGAAACAACGTCTGTCTTTCTAGATGCAGCCATGGACTTAAACAGACATCAAATTATCCGCGGAAGCCAAAGGAAATTGGAAATCCTTTGACGTCACGAGGCGGCGTCGGGCGACTCACCAGTGCCAGTTTTCTCCATGAGTTTGTGGACCACTGTCATGCACAGCGAGTTGATGTCCTCCAGATCGGAGCAGAAGCCCATGCGCTTCTGGCCCAGACCGATGGTGTATTTACCGGCGGACGCGCCATCAAACGACTCCAGCTCTGCAACCCGGCTGCAGTTAAAGACTGGTTAAGCTCCCAGCAGATGATGACAGAACAATATGCATGTTAGCAAATACGAATGACATACATGGACTGAAGCAGCTGCCAGCGGGCAAGAGATCCGGCGGCTAAATCTGAGGTTAGCAATGAAACAGTACACCTTGTCTTTAGATACATCAATACAACAGCCAATTCGACGGCATACTTATCGACACATCCACCGCCGTACCTATCCACACGCCCCAGTCATGTAATCCTTTCAATGCCTCGAAATACGTATCATGTATTACCTTCCTGGTCGACATACTGGGACGGGAAATATATTTCAATGGCAGTGATGCCGACATCCGCTGGCCACTGTCCTTGTCCTGACGTCATTGCGACAGTCTGGAACAAACAAGACGGCTGATTTGTTGCGGTCTACACATGACACTTCGCGGCTTCACTGGAAGGACGAGACGCTAAGTCATGACAGACAGGTCAACTATGAACCCAGTGCTCAGGCAGCGCCTGCCGCCGTCTCGTTGGTCGCGAGCCTCTTCGACCACGGCCGCATCTCCGACTGGCGTCGCCGCTGACCTTGAAGACGCGTCACGATCGATGGTGCGTTGGAGACGCAGCGTCGTCGGGACCTGGCACCGCTGACGCCGCGGGGGAGAGGCCCGCCCGGCACGCCCCGCCACCGCTGACATGTTGGGGAGGGGCCTGCTTGCGTCCCCCCCCCCCCCCCAGCTATCGATCACACCAGCCAACTCGCTGCATACGTGTACCCTGCCCCCTCCCTCCCGGCGGTGCAAGGGGCAGCCTAACTGTATTCGGGGTCCCATCGCGGCTGGACCACCCCACACACAACGGCGAACTGCCGCACACGACGTCGACAGAGAGACTCTGTCTATGCGCCCCCAGCAGCACCTCTTATACTACTTTGGAGCCCACCCACAGCACGATCGGCTTGCGACTCGCCGGCGCCACCGCGTCCACGGGTTAACGCATCACCCCTGAGCCATGACTGTTTCCCTATGTTAACACTGTCCCAGGGTGTGATCCATTGCCACATTCGGTCCACCGATACACTAACTCATCCAAGATCCTGCCGACATCTAGCAATGCACTTACACATCATGGAATGACCCCAGACAAACATGTCAATATCAAGACATGACCACAGGCAGCTTGATGTAAAATCAACTTTGGCACAGTAATCATGCCAGATATTGAAGAAATGTCCTGATTTCAGTGCATCTACAGGCATTCCCACAACACAAAACATGCAGCTGCTCACAAACTTTAAATGCTCCAACTCATTTTCACTTAACCTATTGATAGGATAAGTTTTTAGTGAAAAAACTGTGATGAAACTGCCAGTGGAGAATGTAATGCATTTATCAGTATCCACTCAGCTCAGAATATGTATGAACAAATTCTGATGAATGAAGGGCAAAGAACCAGATTTTCAAAGCAATAATGACCTTCCGGCATTGCATAATACAAGCAAATAATTTTCTACTTGCATTGTCATGTTCCTGAGCAAGAGACTCAATCAGGCTCCTCATTACCAAATTGCTTTCAGGTGGTTTTATGGTATGGAAAAGTTTGGACTTGCAGTACATATCTCAATTCTATATCTCCATTTTCCCAGTTTTTGTCTGAGGAATACAGCTAATGCTACTGTCTTATTTAGCAGTATTTCTGAACATTTCTTCTGCCACATTAGAAAAGTTTAGAGCTATCAGTTTGAGAGTATATCATATGACAAATATGATGGTTTTGACAGTTTTGAGTTCAATGTCTTAAATAATTTGGCATGCACACAGCTTTCAAAACATTTTTAACAATGGTTTTCCTTAACTCTTAGCTTTTTCTTAGTATCACATGAAGTTATGGGCTTCGCACAATGATAGGTAGCAGAGGAAGGGCATATTTGATGCATAATGTAGTGGCTGGAAGAAAAGTTAAATGCAGCAATGTTTTAAGCAATTAAGCTTCATATGGATTTCAGGCATTTCACACAAGATTGAAAGTCTTTTTTTAATGCTCTGGTATACAGTATGTTCTGAAAAAACTTTATGGAAAAAGTGCAGCACATCATATAAAAGGCATCATACTTTTCTGAGAAGCATCTGCCACTAAGGCATTGCAAACATTTGTATGCATATAAATTATGAGAAAAACAAGACAAAGACCCAGGAAGCAGAATGAGTGCTTTGGTAATAACACAACTTTTTCATAAAAGTGTCAAGACAGGGGCTAAGTCAACCACATGCAGTTTATAAGAACATGCATCCAGCTAGATTATCGCAAGACCAATCTCAATCTATTTCTTGCTGCAGGGCACCAAATGGTTGCTCGCCCGTTCTCGGTCCCAAACCATTGTCTGGCTTCTTATTGTATCTACACACCCAGTTAGGACGCCTTGGTCGTTCAGCCGGTATGAAGCCTTTCTCCAGCAGACGCTTATAGACTTGGTCCAATTCTGCTGATACGAAGCGGTGCCTTGCTGTAAGCCTGCCAGTACCTAACGTAGCCTGAGTCCAACCCCACAACCTCGTCCCTCAGCGTCCCACGACCTCCTCAGTGCTTCACCTAACCATTACCGGCACGAATACCTCACACGCGCGCCGGCTTCCGCTAATATACGGGGCCTCCAACCTGAAACACACGGTCATGGTCAAGGCTTTCACTGTGTTACGCAATTGTTTGGCAGCACCGCAAAGTACTCCTACTAAACGACCGCCTTCTACGGTACTTGTTCTGCCCGACAAACAAGCAGGACACTTTCCCTCTTGGATCACGCAGTAGATCAGCGCAGGAGATATCGTTCAAGTACTGTAGGATTGAAATCCGATGAAAGAGTTCTTTATCATTAAACCGAGGCATGACGGCGCTCTTTAGGCATAAGTCAGGCAAATGATGAGTGCAAGTGATACATAATGTGCTCAAACGATTTTGGACCGATATTATGACCGCATACAATCAACGAAAGGAAAATAAATATCAACTAACGTAGCCCTTGAAACAATTTTAGAATAAATCATGTAGAATGTGTTGTGCGAAAAATGAAGCAAAAATGTCATGCAGCTTCAAAGTCGCCAGAAATTTTATCAGAGAAATCAGTTCTGTTGGCTTCTGTTAATCTGATCACGCTCTTGTTTTCAGGTTTTCGACAAATCTCTGAAGGGTACACAACCACCAAAGGAAACTACGTCATTCTGCCTACGGGTGGGAGCTACCAAATTTCAAGCGACTGAAACTCTGGTATAGAATTGCAAAATCGCCCCACTGCAGCGCTGCATAAAAGTAATCGGCCTGAAATATCATATGTGGTCTATTTTAGCAATAATCTAAATAAATATTTACGCGAACCTGATGATTTTACCGATAATTTATTCCGTATCTTGGGATTTTTTTCTCTCCGCTTTCCAATCATCGAAATCCCGCGCGCTAAATTTGTAATATATGTGGATTTCTGCGTGGGCTACGCATCGCGATAAAGCATAAACTACGGTGTTGTCACGCACTGCGGCTCGCTGCGCAGGTAATGCGCGTAACTAATGGGGGCGGAATGCCTTTCAAGAGCCTCGACTCTTGCGTTATAGAAGAAAGCAGCCGTAGAACCGTTTTAAAGTTGCCAGATGAGTCATGTACTCCTTTAATACTCTAGTTACTAGGTTTTATGTGCATGTCAATAGCATTGGTTTTTTGTGCTCCGTTGAGTGCTCATCAAATATTCCCAGATGCCCATTCCTAATGTTTACGTGAAGTTAGCGCGTGTAACCTAGAGGACATGTGCATCAATTTTGGGCCAATCCAAATCGTGTAAAATGCTCAACTTTTATCTACTTGAAAAGTGTTCTGTGATAGTTTTGCTTGAAATTGCAATTGTAGCATCCAAAGTGTTCATACATGGGCTCTGTGCACTTAAGTAAGCTGTCAGCTCACTAAACTTGGACTTGCTGAGTGACATGCATGTGCTGGAATTGTTGCTTTTGTTCCTAAATCCAATTTGTTCTATTTTTAATTTCTTCCATTTTGCCTGAGTTTACTCAAACTCAAATTTTGACCTCTGCCATAGGAATAAGGGGCCAGCAGGCAATGGGATATGTTCACACACAACATGTGCCTAAACAACAGAAGCAAGTTACACACATTGACATTTTTAGACATTGTACAAGCACAATGGAAGTAGAATGAGGTAAAGGGTGGATAGCATTGAAGTTGAAAAGCATTTTAAGTTCCACTCATTTTCAAGAGGTAGTTTTGCTACAGTCCTCAAAACATATGCACCACTGGACAACAAATTACTAAATTTTCTGCACCAACCTAAGCAGGTGCATGTCAGACTCAGTTCATGCCAAATAGCTCTAGAATTCTGCTTTACAACACTGCTCTGAGGCATCTTCACTTAAAGTTACAATGAATGCATACTTTTTCCTGGAGGCACTGCTTCTATGCTCTGAAATTTTTGGTGGTGAGTGCCAAACCTAGCAGATTGTGATATGCTGCATATATGCCGTGAAACTTTTGTTTCGATGAGGTCACCATCAGCGTTCTGGTGTAACATGGATTTTTAGCTGTCTGGCTGTGGGAAAATATGTCCTTGCACTGGCATGTAGTGATGATGTACATAGTGACGTGTATTGAAGCCTGTTTCAAAATTTCTGTTAGGATGCAACTTTGTGATCTTGTAAGACATGTGGCACAAAACCCCTGCATTTGCCAATGACTGACAGCTTTAGCTATCTACTTCTTGACTTATATCTGAATTGGCCTTCAACATGACACTGGAATCACACCATTCATGACCCTTTATTTGTGCAATGCAAGGCTGTTACATTCCAACACTTCAAACTAGAATCACTGCATTCTTGATCTGGGAGAGATGTCAAATTAGTTGTCAAGCACCACTGTTACAGGTTCTCAGGACGAGTGTCATATTAATCTTGAGTCATATTTAGGGGTCTATTGGGTGCTAGCCAACAAGGATCAACCAAAATTTGGTTTTGCAGCATTTTTGTAGCATGTTAAACCCCCTTCTGCAGTCCTGTTTGATAAAAGGTTGGAGACAAAAGTATGTGTTGAGTTGGGAAGAGAAACCATCCTTGTGTGCCTTTCATGAGTATGTCAAGCTTTACATCTTGAACCTGGCAATTAAACTAGTAAGGAGTGCATAATCCAGTGACCCAGACACTTGTCAGACTGGGAAAAAGCACCCATCTTGTGCTGTGATTTAGTCTCAAGTACTGCATGGACAGGAATACTTCTGTGAGCCCCCACCCCCACCCCCACCCACATTCACACCCACACCCACACCCCACACCCACATCCACACCCACACCACCACCACCACCACCATCCTCACCACCACCCCAACTGACTCACACCACTTGACTCTTAGCGCGGTCGCTGCCATCGGCTGCAAGCCATTCCTATCAAGGGCAACTTGTGCTCACACGTCCTGCCTTTTCACCGCGCCCTATGGCACCGCATCTAAGCGACTACAATGGCGTCGGAACCAGAGTCCACTCACAATTATGCTATGCCACCCGGAGTATAGTCAAACCAACCCCACTGGCTGTGATTGAAAGTTTTAATCGATTCCGTCGGAGCGAAATCAAGCGCAGGCATGTCTATGACACGCCTTTGTCTGCAGGATGGCATCGATGGAAGACGATGAAATAATTGACGGCAGTGGCGATGAGCAAGAAGATATAACACCAGCGGATATCCTTCAGAGGTTGAGACAGGTTCGTCTCAAAAGGCATCCATGTTCACACGCAGTGGCACCATCGCCTAGTTTTACTTTGAAAACAAGTCGTCATATGGGCTTCTAGTGACTTTCCCCCCCCCCCCCTTATTTTCCCCCAGTGATATTGCCGACCTGGTGAAGCCGGCTGGCGCACAGTGACGTCGAGATGCTTGTTGCCTGGTCTGGTCTTAATGTGCCAATGTCGGCAGAATGGCGTCGTATAACCTGGTTATTGACCGCAATGGTATAGCTTGTGCTCGGCTTCAGGGGTCCCTGCGACAAGGGGCGTAAGGTTTGTGGGCGCTAAGTGACGAATGATTGGGCTACAGTGCTGTAAATCCAGTCTTAATCTGCTGTCAGGGTGATCTCGCAGTTTCCACTGTTTCTCTGGGACGTTCACAGGCTCGGCAGATGTGCCGCATTGTGGGTTCGATGTACGTGACATCTTCCATCATAATAGTAGGTCTTCACCTGCACTGTTTCAGTCGTGGATAGACGAGCGGATGTGTCCCGAGCTGTTGGAATACGACGGCGATGTCGTGGACTGCATGCTGGACCAGATCCATCAGATGGAGGCCAACCTGAAGCGGGTCAGCAAGACGGATTTCAAAATATCCATCCACAAAATGGAGGTGAGCGAGAGGTGGCACGGAAACATGACCTCGTCAGTCATTGCCACTACCCAGCCGTGATATGACGGTGACAAAGGGCGATTTATGCACATCACGCACCAGTGCTCGGCGGATTTGAGGACGATGACGACTGTCAGCCGGGTCAGCCGCCTTGGTGCGGGGACGCGGGCGGCGCACTGATGTGTCCGCCGCCGGCCAGGTGGACCGGATCCGGTACCTGATCGCCAGCTACCTGCGCTGCCGACTGCAGAAGATCGAGCTCTACCACCGCCACCTGCTGGCCAGTGAAGAGCTGCGCCGCCGCCTGTCACCCGAGGAGCTCAAGTTCGCCACAGAGTCAGTGCCGTCATCATGACTCACGCCCGTGTCGCACCGGCAGGGTTAGCCTGGATAACGTGTTTTCTGATGCATACGTAGAGCATGTAAGACTCAGTTTGCTAAGTCATCAATTCAGCTGTTATCGATGGGTTTACCTTCGCTATCCGCTGACCCGGCACCCGCAACGCCAAACGACGTAGTGAGCACGGCCCGATGGGGCAGCTCGGCCGGAAGTGCTCATCCCCACGCCCTGAGAGCACCAGCAGCGGCTCGCCGGCTCCCTCACGCCGTGGCCTGGTGGGCGCAGGTTCCAGGCGGGCCAGGAGAGCCACTTCCAGGAGGTGGCGCTGCAGCACATGCCGTCGAGCGGCGCGTCAGCCTCGCAGCCCGAGTCGGGCTCGGAGCCGGCGCCCAGCGCCGAGGGCAGCCGACTGGGCGCGGCCGAGGCCACGGTGGCGCCCAGCCTCGACGCGCACGTCTACCTGCGGGCCGACGTCGACTGCGTCGGCGTGCTCATCGCCGACGAGGCCGGCGACTCCAGGTCTGTGGATCGGAGAGATGGGGGTGAGAGGGGCGGCGTGCGGCTCCGGGATATTGCAGGGGAGCTGGACAGCAGCGGAAGGCTGGTACGGCAGGTGACAAGCTATTGTAGTTGTGTAACACCGGGAGATGCAATAAACGCGCAATACCATGCTAGTCAAGGCTTTTGTGAATGGTAGAGGCCGATTTATTGCATCACCACCGGCCAAGCCGGTGTGACCAGACGCGATGCACGGACCAGACCAGAACAGACGGGACCAGTGTGATGTCTGCGGACGCCCCGCGCCTCGCTTACCGAAGGGCCTGCGGTCCTCCATGGCGTCACTACATCTGTTGCTGTTCCAGGACGGAGGAGCTGGACCTGGTGAAGGGCTCGCAGTACCTGTTGCGATACGAACCCATCTCCAAGCTGCTGCACAAAGGCGACGTGCACCTCATCTGACCCGGGCGGGACGCCGCTCAGGCGCCGCGTGTGGCGGCGGTCGACTAGCCCTGCGACGATGCGCCGGGTGCCGGTGGCGCCGATCCGCCGGACTGTGCCGGCTGAACTCGTGTGCCATGGTCCGTAATGCCTACCGACGGCATTGGGACTGGATAGAACAGTGTGCGTTGCCTGTCAATACTGTGTCTCGTATCAACGACGTTCAAGGGTTCAAGAGTTGTGCCCGGAGCGTGAAGGATCTCCGTCGACACGAGGATGAGCGGGGTTGACTTGCCACCTGCGACATAGGGAACTACACCCGACTTCAGCGCCAGAGGCACCGCCGATAAGACCTTGGCCTGACACGGCGGCTGTCTGTTCCACGTCCGCCTGTCAGCCCCGAGCACGGACCCAGCCACCGCTGGGATCGCTAGGGTCGCGTCAACATGGAGTGTGTAGTTACCCGCCTGACTCCGCGGAGTGTGGGAAAAATTCAGGACCTCTTGGTATCTGACGGACTGCGCGTCGGGAACGCCAGTTGGGCAGCTTTCATCAGGGGCGACAAATGAGATGCCGGCCGGGAGGCTGTAGTTCCTCACTCGATCGCCAAGCTACGGGCGGGGACCGTGCCTGGCGGGTGTGTGCCTGAATGGGTCGGCAGGCTGTCTGTACGCGAAATTTTATCGCCTCACGATGTTCGACAGCGTACCTGGGATATGTCTTGACAGACAAAACGGATCGTATTGCTCGGTAGCATGGTTCTGTGTGCAGGAAGCGGCGCTTGAAATGGTCGCACTGGCGTATGGTTGTTACTGCATACTATAGGAGCAACCGAAGCCACATTGATTTCATAGATAGTTAAGATCAGGACGATTTAAGATGGAAAGTATGGCCCCAAAGGCCAAAAAATTCCATTGGAGTCATGTTTGGGGAGCGTCGTCCCATCAGTATTCTTGAGAATTGTTGCAGTTCGTCCCTTTTCTCAACGCGGAACACCACTCAACTTCGTTAAATCTAACATTGAATAGCTCTGGCAGAACGCTAAGGCTGGTCGCAGGGCTGGTCGCTGCGCTGCGAGATGAAACGATAAGGATCACCACATGCAATCGCGAGTGAATCTTGGGAAGAATTTGGGACGCGCAAAATGTAACCACCAACCGTCAGATTAGTAGATCCAAGCAGTCGCCATATCAGGGAACAATGGACTGAGTCGGACTGTGAGCCCGAGGAGCGGCGGAAAGCGCACAGGACAGGATCGAAACGTATTCGAAGCCACCGACATCGGAAATACCGCGCAATCTGCAACAGACGTCGCAGGATACTATATGGCGTTGATGTTGACATTCTTTGGTGGGATCCAGACCCTCGAACACGTTTTTGGGGCGCGGAGGCATAATTTTTAAGAGGGGGTGGGGTGGGGGGTAAATTTGAGATCATCGGGTGTACCTAGGCGCGCATTCAAGGAAACGGAACGTGGTGCTCGGAGGTGGTTGAAAAAACAGAGGTCCGCGCCAGTTGATCTGGGATCAGGGGGGCTCTCAAGGTTGTCAGTGTGTGTATGACGTGGCCGTCCATGACGGCAGTAACCACCGCCAGTACCAGATGTGTCTGGATGTCAATAGTCTCATCACCCTACATAGGATCCAGACAGGCAGGCCCACGACAGCCAGGGCCACGCCCTCTCGATCCTGCCCAGCAGCACCGACCCAGTACCAGACACTCGCGCTGGGTGTAACGACTGGGAGGGAAGGTTACATGGCACGGATTTTCACAATAAGAGATTTCATTCACCCCCTCAAATGAAATATACAGAACGCACGCTTTTAACGGCTTCCCATGCGAAATGTCACTGTTAGGTCAGTTTGCTCCCCACATTCCAGTATGACCCTTTCAATTCTGATCACCCGTCTCTCAGACGTAGTGACACCCATGATTTCCGGCACCGCAGAACCCATTTCTCACGCCGTTCAGTATTAATATTGTTCCTGAATGATCAGAAATGGAATACTCCCGACGAACCGCAGTTTTTCTTAGCGACAGCTGCCCCTTTGTTGTGTGGGTCGGGTCAAGTTGTCGTAGAAGAATTTTATGTTATAGTGACGTCAAATACTAATATTTGAAATTAATAAATAATAACTAATTTTATAACAAAAACATTAAAAAACTATGGAAAGCAAAAACCTATATGCAATGATCACAAAAAGTGCAATAGGTATTTGATAGTATTTACATTGTATGATATCATGTTTTGATCTTCAACAAATGCCTTGTCATAAGGAACGTTCATGGAGGTCACCAATTGACAGCTCTGACGCGTAGTAGAACGAGTTTGCCTCGTTTGTTTGTTTTGATTGAATAATATCGGGGCCAGCACGTGGAGAAGGGGTGGGTTGTTATTGATCAGGGTAACGGCCTTTGTCGTTTGCGGGGTTAAGACATTGGCTTGTGCTGTGGATCTGGGGACTGGCAAGGGTGAGTTGTTTGCTGTGGAGGTATAATGTCTTGGCGAATTGAGAAGCGTATGAACGGAACGCCTGCACTCTTGGAAGTATTTTTGACTGCTTTTCAAGATGTGCCCGATGATACTGGTACCTGCTCGGACGTGCCAGATCTATGAGCCTGACTTGAAGGTTTTAGTGAGTTGTTACGCCATATTTCATCCAAGTTAAGAGTTACATCTGGTCTTTGTCCTATCTCCATATCTATCACTACCCATTCTTGGTAAGCTTTGTGCATCATGTCATTGGAGCTGTATTGTAGCTGTAGCCACACCATGGCAGTGTAGCTGTATTGTAGCTCATGGGGGATGAGGAAGGGGCCATCCATAGGTAGTGTAATTAATTTTCAGGCATTTTCAACCCCCCTCCCCCCTCTATACATGGTCATGCACTGATTGCACTAGGTGAAAAGTGAGAACCCTCCTCCCCTGGCTGGGTGATAGTTTTTAGAGATTCAGGATGACTTGCTTCATACTGGAAGGTAATGTTATGCTGTCCATGCCCATCTCTGCCTTATGCTTTGGTATTGATCAGTTCATGAAATCACCTCTGCCCTCCATGCACAACATAATTTATGGATCAGTCTGAATAACTAAATTTCTAAAGTGCTGCTACTTGATGTTTTTATCTTCAAATTGCAGATAATGTATCATCACTGGCAGGGCAGACAAGTTCTTTAGAACCAGCAGCAGAGCACAGACATGGTTCACCATTTCTTCCATGCCAACAATTAACACAAAGGTGTCAGGCATGGCTGGCCAGAGAGACTTGGCCCAGCTTACAACATGCACCTTAGCCTCCCAACTAGATGGAGAATCCCCCCCAGCCCATGATATCTTGCCTTGCTGATGATGAATCCAAGCAACCCAAAAATCAAGGAAATGATACAATAATGTGTTAAATTATCCAAGTGCACAGTTTCATGGTTTTGCATAACTGCAGCTACTGGATAACAAAAAAATAAGAAAGACATGTTTCTTGTGGCAAAAAGGTGCAAAGGATCCTTGCCATCTTGGGTAAAACTGTGATGGCTATTGCCACCAGAACAGGGGTTGGTTGGTATGATGTGCCCTTTTGCCAAGTTCAGACTGTATGTGTCAGAGTCAGAATTTCAGTAATGGGGAATTCTCTGTGGCTCTTTCTTGAAGCATGTTGAGTTATCTAGTGTGATGACCTATTGCATTAGGTCAAATAGAGTTACAATATTATTTGTTGTTTATCATTTGTAAGGGAATGGTTGCTCCACCCATTTTTATGCCACTTTTGAGATTTGGCCTTGCATAACTTGGGCTTTGGTTTATTATTTTACCAATGTAATGGCTCAGAACATATTTAAATAAGTCTAGTGTGCATACTGCAAGCAATGTATGTGTGTTCAGCAAGGCGCCAGCCGCGGTCTTGAACCGTTGTTTGGGAAGCTGTGGTCGTTTACACGAGACAAGCCAGCCAGCCTGCTGTCCCCCTCCCCTGATGTTACCATCCGGTTATGGGGATGCCCCCGTTGGGGCAGTGGGAGAAGAAGTCAAAGGACATGTATGGGTGGGGGGGGGGCTCAAATTGACCCCCTGAGGGCTTTTCCGGAAGTTTCCGAACGGCGCGGCGTGGTCGCGGCAAATTTTGCATAGCTGCAGGCAATTTAATAGCGAATCGTTTGGTATCAAACACTTAAATGTACCTTATAAGGTCGCTGACCTATAGCAGGTCAAAGTCAGGCCATAGTTTCAGTGAAGTCAATTTCTAGGGAATCATTTAATCTGATGCAACAATGGAGTTTTGACGAGGCCATACATATCCGGGATGCTTTCAGAGGCAACTCAAATATTGATTGAGCAAACCACATTGACCTAAGGTCGGTATGAAGGTCAGACCAAGGTCAAAACCAATCTGTTTATTACTCCAGGGCTTGCAGTATGGGACAGTTTTCTGGTGCTTATTTCTAATTCATTGATAGCAGCAACCACATTATACATCTTCCATGGTTCTCATAGAGGTCATTATAGGGTCATTGACCTGAATGACTCGGTTTAACCTTTTGTTTTGAAAATATACTACCTAGCATAATCTTGTTGCTTATTCAAATGCAAAACTCAGCAGTCTGGTATGATTTTGGTTGCCATGACCTTCAAAGGTCAAACAAGATCACTGACCTTAAATGAGCCTGTGACCTTTTGATTGGGAAACAGTTATGTAGGTTTGGGGGGCATTTTGGAGACCAACTTAGAATTTGACCTTGTTTGACCTTTTTGACCCGAACATCGTGACCTAGGAGCCTTAAACTCTGACCAGGGTGAGTTCACATACAGGTCAACACACCCTAAAAATTTGGTGTTTCTAGCTCTATTAGTTCCCGAGATTTTCAGGGGGCCAAATTCACCCACCCACCCAAGCGAAGGGTATCCAGCCGGCCACCCGGGCGCGTGTTAAGCGGAGCGAAAAGGAAAGGGAACAAGTGGGATGAATTCAAGTAAAAAGGACAAAAGTCAAATGTAAGAGTCTAATGAGCAGTCGCCAAAATGTATCACGGTCAAGGGGCTCCTGTAGAGCTTAGAGCGAAGAAGTTGAAATTACCCTCCGCCGACCACGAATATGTATGTATCCAATGTTGCTTCCTTAACGTTGTGTAACCAGTGTGCTCTGATATGTTGAGGGTCGATAACTTAACATAAGTACTCTGAACTCGTAATGCCGAAAAAAACCGGGAAATGAAGCGGTCCTTGGTTATATCCAAAACCATCATCATTGCTTTGGTTTGCAAGGTAGCTAGTCAGACATTGATTATTGACTGTGCAAATTTCGCCCAACCAAAGCAAACGAACCACGGACGCAGAGTTCGGCAAAAGCCAGAACGATCTTGTAACGGATTAGAGTGCAACTATGTGGTGACTATTTGACATGCTACACTTATTGCCGTGATATGTATCCAAAAATCAGCACTGCACCATCCATGTCCAGCTGTACAATCTGTTTCTCCGGTCGAACGTCGCTCACACTGAATTAATCGAGACATCTGGACAGCCAAAGCTAGCCCGTGCGTCCCGTTGACAGATTGCTGTGGTGGTTGTTGGGCTTAGGGGCTTGTCGTCCATCGATGTGCAGATTTCCCCAAAGATGGCAGATACGGTCCTTGAGCGCAGATTACTGCCCGGGCCGCGCTCAGTCCAGGCATGTGGCGCTCATATCTCACCATATTTGTCGAGGCGCGTAAACATGTGTCGCTAAACCACGATTGGACCATCAGCCGGTCCTGTCGTTCCGGGGAGCCGATAACGACGTCGGTATCGAGCGGTCCGGGGCCGGAGCCTCACGCGCGTTGTCGCGCGGGTCATGTATCGAGCCGGCGCCACTTTCAGTCGTAACGACGTTGGGCGCGTGAGTGAGCGCGCGCCGCGCCGGCCCCGCCGCCGTCCGCCGCCGCCGGCCATGCTGAGGTACAGCGTCATCGAGCGGCTGACGCAGACGTCCAGCGTCATCCAGCAGTACATGAAACGGCGCTCCGATGATGACGCCGGCGCGCGCAAGATTCGCCTGCTGAGCGTGCACGAGGTGGCCGACGTGCACAAGGAGCCGGGTGAGCCACGAGAGGTCCGCCTCCCTCCCCTTCCCCTCTTTGCCCCTCTCTAGCGACCTGACCGACCTGAGGTCGGTCGCCATCCACGCCCCAGTGACCCTAACCCCATTGCGGGCGCGGTCGGCGTGCGCTCGTCCCGCACGTCACGGCCGTGCCCGGGCTGCACGGCGCACAAGGCGTGGATGTTTGTCGTGGCGCCTGTGATTCATACCGTCATCGATGTCTGGCTGGTCCAAATTGCAGTGGAACCGTGCTGTGGACGCGGCCGGCGGCGGCTCGTGTTTGCTGTAGTCCACGGTGCTATCGGTGGCAATATCGCCGCCTCGGTCCGCGCCGGTGTCACAGCCCCGGCCGTCCGGCAGGCATCATCAGCGGCTACGTGCCGCACGGGTCGCCCTGGGTCTGCGTGCGCGGCCTCTTCCTGGCCACCAACGAGACCATCAACTTTTGGACGCACTTCCTGCCGTCGCTCTACTTCATCTGGAAGCTGGCTGAACTACGGCACTCGCTCGACTTCTCCGACTCGTACACCTGGCCCTACATCTGCTACATGCTGACCACCTGCGTGTACCCGTTCGTCTCGTGTGTGGCGCACGCCTTCAGCTCCATGTCCGTCAGGGCGGCCCACGTCGGCTTCTTCATCGACTACGCTGCCATCAGCATCTTCAGCTACGGTGTGGGCGTGTTGTACCGCAGCTACTGCTTTCCGAAGGACCTCCTGGGCACCGTCTATAGCGACTACTTCATCCACGTCTGCTTCGTCAACACGATCGTCTGCAC